ATAACTTTAAGTTTTTACCATAACACGCTTCCCTAATATTAAAAAAAAGAAAGAGAAAAATTAAGTTTCTCGTAATAACAAATTCAAAGGTTCATCTTACGAAAGATAACAATAAACCGGCTTATATCGCCGTAATTCTCGATTATTTATTTAATTCATTATAACGAGTTCGATTAATTCGAGTTATGTTAATAATTCTTCGCAAGATTTTTTTATTCTGCGTCATATATGTATTCGTATAAGCGCGACAGAAATAAAAAGTCAGACATTAATACCTCCGTGTCTGTAACTTTGTTCGAAACTAAAGCATTGAAACTCTCCCGCGTATAGAAACTTCTCCATGAGTTGTTATTTAAAAAAACCAGTTCTCAACAAACTTATCAATACTCTCTAGCTATTAGCTTTTATTAAAATTTCTATCAGTATAAGTAACTGTTTTGTATAAAAGTAACATCGTATTCTATAAATTAGTTTTGCTTTTAACTTTCGATATTGGTGTATAAGAGTAACATAAATTGTACCGAACTTGATAATGTAGCTTAAACGACGCTATTCGTTTTCAATGCGTAGTGTTCTTTCGTCTTCCCTTAAAGGATTGTAGAAGCCCTTAAAGCGTCCCAAGCCAGACAATGACCGAGGCTATCTACTCACCTGGGTGTAAGTCATTAGTTGCCATAGCTTTCTTACCAGCTACTTCCTGTGCCTTAACATGCAAAAGTTGACATAGGTTTGGTCAATTTTGTTCCGTATACATACATATATAGATATCCTAAATCGTGCATAACAATACGGTAAAAATTGCTATAATTTTTGTAGATAGAGTACAGATGTAAGAAGAAATTAAAACAGATAATGGTTTTAATTAAACAGTAGAAATATTTATTCAAGTAAAATACGTGTCTGTACAATAGGACCAATTGTATTAATCCTTCGTAGTACTCTTAGTTTAATTTTTTTCATATCGTAGATCCTAAAAAATTTTGAAAAAATTCAGTTACTTTATTATTGATACCTTGACTTCTTTATCTAATAGGTTTTCAAGTTAATAGTTACAAGCTATTTATTATAATAATCGAAATTTGAGTGACGATATTCATATATTGTTGTTATAGTACACAGAATAAACAGAAGAATCGAGATAGAAAGAGGTAGAAAGATAAGATAGTATCATAGAACAGAAGGTATATGAACAATTTTATGTGAAATAGTTGGCTTTCAAGTTAATTTACGGAGCACCTTGTTTATCATTGTCTGAGATTCTTTAGAGAAATATGTCTTAATTAACTTTTTAAACCAACTGGCTGGAAAATTCATTAAATATTGACTTCAAATATAACCTATCTTAAATATAATATATTCTATCCTGGTTGCTTTCAGAAATTTTTTATATACATATATGTTAAATAATATGTTGTATTTGACGTCTTCTTTTCACTGTTATTTTCAAAGCAAGCTATGTGGACAATGCACTTCTTCTTGTGCAAACGAAGGTATCCAATCAACGTGGACCTTTTAAGGAAAACTATGTCGAGTCAGTTGCATACACCTGTAAATAGAAACCAACCCTTGTAGTCGTGATAGTTGATTTAAAAAAGGAAAGTAAACTGACAACCGGTACTGTGTATTTCAAGATTAAAAGAAAGTCTTTTTAATATTCATCAGATATTAAATCGTTATTTGTAGCATTTGTAAAACTTACAGATCATGAATATGAATAATATAAAATGCGTTCAATCAAATTACTCTCTGATGTTATGTCAAATTACTCTCGGATTTAAATACAGATAATTCTAGTCCTTTATATCGCTGTGATCGATTAAATTGCATTACATAGATACCTGTATCAGTCACATGTTCAAAGCTAATTTATATGAGATGAGATCTCGATACAGATGAAATTACGGTATTTTCTCATTACAAGTGAAATATACTTTTATACAATCTTTCTGAGCATAAAAGTTTTAATAGTCTTTCCTGTAAATATTTAAACCATATGGCTATAATATTTATCATGAATCTATTCTACTCGGGTAGAATTTAATCATCTTCAACGTGAGTCGCAACCCCTAAGGTACTACAAAGTGTTTTCTAGGAGTCATAAAGTATTCCTTCGTGGGTTGCCGCTGTTATCTACATTTACATTTATTTTACACATCTTATAACAGGATGACATTTCATATCAGATATTATCCTAATTATATCTCGAATATTTATACAAATTTATATTTTTATGGACGCAATTAAAGAAATAGAGCGTCAATAGAAATTCGTTTTATCTATTAAAAATTGTAATGGATACTATGAATATTTTATGTATCTTTCTCTACATTGTATGCATCCTGTGCGGTTTTGCATGTTTAAATTTCGCATAGATGCATAAAAATCCGCACTTTCATCATTAAATTACGATAAATTTTGATATCTACTCACTGCGGTATGTCTACGTTGCAATATTTAATCAATACTTTTAATACTGTTTTTTGGTAAACTAAAGAATACCATTTAAACTTATATTCTATTAAAAATATCTTTTTGTGTAAATTTGAGGGGATTATTTGACAATTGTAAAACGGGGTCACACACGACTTGGAAATGGTTGGGAAAACGTTGAACTACATTAATAATTTACCGACACGTTTGGATAACGAGCGCCAATTTAAGAATTACGCGAGTCTACGATGAACGTTTCCACGGCAAAGCAAAGAGTAATGAGTGCAGTGACCGGCGTTCGTCTCGGACCTTCGTCGTTGTACCATGGAAGATGCAGCATACCTTGAAAAAAAAAAAAAGAAATGGGATGGGGCAGGTAGTTTAAGACAGTGAAAGAAGACGGGAGAGACAGACATAGAAGGGACTATCCACGTGTCGGAGTAACGGTTCGCTGAATTATTTAAAGCATGACGGAGGACTTTGCAAGCGCAGGAGGTTCTTTACACCCGACTTGCATACAAGATACCGGTTGATTTAAGTACACTGTAGATCTGTCACGAGATATGAGTACATATGCATATCGAGAAATTACATGCATTCGTAATGCAATTTAAATGTCCTCGAATATTTGACCACTTTGCATACAGGCCCGAATTACCAAGTTTATGAACAAATTCCAAGATATTCGGGCTTAAAGATTAACTTAAATCAAGGCATTTCTCCATATTCGATGCATTAAAATATAAATATTTTATTCTTTTGATGGAATTTTGTATTTTGTTTTGATAGTGCAAATCTTTTTTTTAGAAAATCTGAGACAATTTTAGATCATAGAAAATCAATGAATAAAAATATAGGACGTGTAAATACCAAAATGAAGATAATAATGTACAAACACTTTATACATACGTTGCTTATGCGTTAGAATAAGAAAAATAATAACAAAATATTGTGTTATAGATATTTTAAATAATACTTTAATTGAAATTTGTAGAATATATTCGAGTAAGATAAACAGTATAATGTCTTATTATAAATTTCTTTTAACATTATCAACACAGTCTTTTTTTAATGTTAACTTAAATTAATTCGACGTTAAATTTGTAACATTTAAATCGTTTATATAATTCTATTGATTAATTTTGGCTGTTGATCCTGAACTTATAAGTAACAACGGTAGCTATGTCTCTGCGTTCGTAAATTAAAGACTGTCTGAAAATTTACTCGTCACATTTATTTAAATGCATGAAGAAATACGCTGGAGACAGCTGAATCTGAAAAAAATCCTTGTCTCGCGTTCCCTTGAACTGCAACAATATCCCTAGCCAGACGTATTTATTCTGCCGGTTGGTGCGTAGGCCGAAGAAGAAGCGATATATTGCAACTTATAAAACCAGTTGCAAGTCGTGAGTCGTGAACGAGGCGCGCTCGTCCCCGACGAAGAATCAAATGGGCCAAGCATGACGATGGGAAGAGAGAGAAAGATTGAACGAAAAATAGGGTGAAGGCGAACGCAGTAAAAAGAGGGAAAAGGAGACAGTTGTCGTATCTCGTTCGCGCAGACAGCACGGCGCGGACACCCCACGTTCTACATTAATTACTTATCCGCAATATGATTCGGGATAAACGGCGTAATGTGGCGCACCTACTTTGTCAGCCTCTTACTAATTACGATAAGTTGAAACGCGTATGGATTTAATAGATTAATAGCGACTATATGGTATTTGCTATTACTATATTTCCTTCCTTTTTTCTATGAATCAAATTTCATCACTTTAGAAGTAATTTTCCTAAACTTGGTGAAATATTTGATCAATGTGTTTCATAGAAGGTTTCCCATTTTTAATTAGTAGTAATATTTTTAAGAATATAATTAAAAAAGAAGGGATTCAAATAAAAATTTGTTTCGTTTACTGTATAAGTATTGAAACGAATATTTTACTTTAAGTATTTTATATAGTTTCGCATGTGCGGTGGCTACTAAAAGTATTTGCATGTACTACATACTTTCATCTTCTAATAAAACGACTTTTTATCAGGTTTTACATTCCATTCACTTATTCGTTCTAATATGACTACGTTGGATTATTCCGTTAGCAGTTGTATCCGATGATACTTAACCATTAGGAATGCTTTTTTGCGCAACTGTGAGAAAGAGTTTGTAGGTTATTCTATAATTTATAAAAAGGCAGGTTGCGTCTTGTAAAAGATTTGAGGACGCTATTTCACCTATTTCAGCTATATATGAAAAATGATATCTAGTTGGCCAATTATCTGTTCAGCGATACGTTAAGAGATCTGTAACAAGTGTCCACTTACATTCATGTACTTTTTGCTCGGTTGAGCATATCTGATTGGTGTAGGACAAAACAACCGCAAAGAAGAACGTGACGAATGATTAAACACGCGCGTAATACTTGACCGCGAAAGAAAGTATCCAAACAATCCAAGCAGAGTTACGTTATTAATTATTCAGTAGTCGGCGTGTTCGTACTCCAACGTATTCCTTGCTATTTTACTCACGATGCAGTTTTTTATTACTACAACGTTTTCTTCTTTTGGTATTTCAGAGCGACCCTAGTACGGCATTTCTTCGTGCGGCTCGCGCAGGGCAGCTGGAAAAGGTTTTGGAGTACTTGGAATCGGGAGTGGACATTAATGCTTCAAATGCTGTAAGCACAGTTTCTCCTTATTATTTTACGTGATTCTCTGATTTATGAAAATCGCCAAATACTGATAAAATATTGCTAATACCGCGGTCCTCGGATTTTTCATTTTTTTTTGCCTCAGTTTCAACCGAAGAAAAGACTTTTAATCCATAGAAAGTATCACGGATGAAAACATCGTGCGAATTTTGTTTCAATATTATCGCTCCATGACAATACTGTCGTCATTTGTAAACTTTGCAAACGATAACTTTTTTGTTTTTTATTTAACATTGAATAATAATAAAACATTTATGAGAATAATAAAAACAAAACATTTATGTACAATAATAAAACATTTCTTTGACTCTATTGATATTTAGTAAATGAAAAAATATATTTATATCGGTGTGCATTCATGATAACGTAAACGTAATTGATCTCCTTTAACGATAGCTTTAAAGGATTAATATTTTATGAAAATATTTAGCATATAGCATATTTTCCTGAAATTCAAAACGGAACTTTTAACTCTAGAAGCATATAATTTGGTGGAAAGGAGGATTTTTATCGTTGGAAGATAGATTTAATATAGAGAACTTAATGGGCTGAAAATGTACGAGAATCTATTAATTACAGAATGGCTTAAACGCTTTACATCTGGCAGCTAAAGATGGACATTTGGAAATTGTCCGAGAACTTCTTAACCGTGGAGCAGTGGTCGATGCTGCTACCAAAAAGGGAAATACGGCATTACATATCGCTTCTCTTGGTAAGTAGAAGCATTACCATTCTTATCATTTACGTATTTTTTAAGGCCGGAGGAGTTATTGCAATCGAATATACGTTTCCAGTTATTTAACACTTTCACTATTGGTTTCTTTAGTGTAACACTAGTTTTTCAGTATAACTTCATAGCATAAATTTAATTGCTTAATATTCAGCGCATATTCTATCTTCGACTATTACTTATGGCAAATATATAGTCTGTTTCTATATGTAGATAGTAAAATAAGTCCAATTTTTAAAATTTTTATGTTACCTGATGGCTAAAACAGGTTTACTGCAATATGACATAATTGAAAAAGAGAAAAACCGGTTAAGTTCAAAGATATAAGCCTTTCGAAAGCACGTCGAAGAATTCAAAGATATCATTCGTTCGTATAATTATAATAATATTATAATAATCAACATATTTAAGATGATATAATTTTTTTTACTAAAGATACATATTCAATACCAAAATCAATAAGGCAATTTTGTTGTAAAGTAAGATCGGCTAACAGCACGATATTTTATTTTGCAAATAAAATTGCTACAAAAAGCGAAAATTGTGATTTATCAATGATCATTAATATTAGTAAAAATATTCTAAAATTGGTAAATACGTATTTTTCTCTTTTCTAGTTACAAAGTGTTCCAAGCTTTTCTTTTTTTTGTAAAAAGTAGTGTATTCAACATAATATACGTGGGATGAGCATTCCGAGTTGAAATTAATATCTCTTTACATAGCTGGACAGGAGGAGGTGGTACAATTGCTGGTACAACGAGGTGCTTCTGTGAATGCACAATCGCAAAATGGGTTCACACCACTGTATATGGCCGCACAGGAAAATCATGATTCTGTAGTCAAGTTCCTTCTGAGTAAAGGTGCCAATCAAACATTGGCTACTGAGGTACGTAAACAAGCTTGATTTCGTTAATTAAACATTTGATGAATTGAGATTTGCTTCTATTACTAGACTGTAGATCTTTATGCATTTATGAAAAATTCAAATATACAAAAATGAAGGGAATGTGCAAGAAAAAGTATTTCCATTTGTTTTACATATTTTTCACGTTTTTCTTTTCCTTACAATATTTGCCATACTTTACAATATTTCTTTTCCTTCTATTTCTTAACCAACCACTTTCATCCCCTTTGCTATTTTTCTCGGATAGCTTTACATATTCGCATAATTCAGTTGCACTGTAGGATTATCCTTTAACGTCTCAACTATTTTCCTCTTCGGATATAACTTCTCATTATATTATTACAATAAAACATAAATTTGTATTTTAATTCTGCTGATACGTCACAGTATCACAATATATTCTAATATATTATATATGTACATATTTAAGAAATTTTGTATCGTATTTAATGGAATGTAAAAATTATGTAGTAGTTAGTACGTATAAGATGAATCTAATATACTTTTTGTGTTCGTAGGATGGCTTCACCCCATTAGCAGTAGCGATGCAACAGGGTCACGATAAGGTAGTAGCAGTTCTGCTGGAAAATGACACTCGTGGTAAAGTTCGATTGCCTGCCCTCCACATTGCTGCCAAGAAAGACGATTGCAAAGCAGCTGCCCTACTTTTACAAGTATGTTGCAATAGTTTGTCGTTGAAGCCCTATATCCCTATATATATATATTCAATCTGATGTGATCGGTATGCGAAAAGAAATCGATTCAATGTCCATAAATTTATAATTCTTTATTTTTATTTCAGAACGATCACAATCCCGACGTAACATCGAAGAGCGGTTTTACACCGCTTCACATTGCTGCTCATTATGGTAACGATCGAATTGCCTCCTTGCTTTACGACAGAGGAGCAAACGTAAATTTTGCGGCGAAGGTAAGGAATTTCTAAGTAACTTGGACTGTAATTTTGTATACGATAAATCTAGACCGGATTACATAGTACGACTTTGATGAGTAATTTGCGGATATGGCCACGTGATTGAGGATTGTGCGGAAGATATCAAATATTTATGTTAGAGTATCAATTACGAGTGAGATATGATTGTAAAAATATATATGGTATTTGCGATAATAGGTTCACGTATGGTGATTTAGCTGCACGTGATAGGAATATATGTGATATTGTTAACGGTGCGATATGGTTGAAAATATAAAAAAGTCGTTGTAGAAACGTGACAACGTTTTGCGAACGTAATAGATGTAAATAAGGAAATATATGTACATATGTTTGTTTACCTATTTATAACTACATCGTCCACTTGTCTAGTTCACTGTGTGTTTTGAATAATCGCTAAGTATATATAAATATCTTTCTATCTTGCAGCATAATATTACGCCGATGCACGTTGCAGCAAAATGGGGAAAAATAAAAATGGTGAATCTTCTGATGAGCAAGGGAGCAAATATCGAAGCGAAAACGAGAGATGGCCTTACGCCGCTTCACTGCGCCGCACGATCTGGTCATCACGAAGTTGTCGACATTTTAATCGAGAAAGGGGCACCAATTGGTTCAAAGACGAAGGTAAGCGTTTTCTTGAAGAGTACTTTTGGTACAAGGTAAGGGGTTTTCTGACTGAATTAGTTGCATCTTGTTTTTTGTTGACAGAATGGTCTTGCGCCGTTGCACATGGCTTCTCAAGGAGACCATGTTGACGCTGCGAGGATATTATTGTATCATCGAGCACCCGTGGATGAAGTGACGGTAGATTACTTGACGGCGCTACACGTGGCAGCTCATTGCGGACACGTACGAGTGGCTAAGCTTCTACTCGATAGAAATGCTGATCCAAACGCACGAGCTCTAAACGGCTTTACTCCACTCCATATTGCTTGCAAGAAGAACAGACTGAAGGTCGTTGAGCTCCTCTTAAAGCACAAAGCTAGCATCGAAGCCACTACAGAGGTATTATTTCCATTTGCATATCAGTTCAATAGTTTAACTTCTTTAGTTTAATACCTTACATCATAGGTATACATCATAGTTACTATAGTATCAATTATATTTGCCTCTAATTAGAAACGGAAATTATTAGAGACAATCGATACGTTATACCGATATGATAATAAAAGAAGATTATTATTATGATTTTTTTAGTAATAATAGATTCATTTTATTGCTTAGTCTGGATTGACGCCTCTACATGTAGCAAGCTTCATGGGGTGCATGAATATAGTGATTTATTTACTGCAACACGCAGCTAGTCCCGATATACCGACAGTAAGAGGCGAAACGCCTTTGCATTTAGCTGCCAGAGCGAATCAGACTGATATTATCAGGATACTTCTTAGAAATGGTGCCCAAGTTGACGCCAGAGCAAGGGTAAAGAAAAAGAATTCAGTATTAGTAAATTTTGATTTCAATATTCATGTTATAGTGACAAAAATATTAATTTTACGTCAATTTTCTTATTCCATTTTATAATCGTTTTCTTATTTGAATATTAGAAATTTGTAAATACTTAGTAAATTTAATTGCGTCATAGTAGATTTGAAAGATATAAATATTGCAGGAAGAACAAACTCCGCTTCATGTTGCTTCTCGATTGGGCAATGTTGATATCGTGATGTTATTACTTCAACACGGTGCCGATGTAGATGCTACTACAAAAGATTTATATACACCACTTCATATTGCTGCTAAAGAAGGTCAAGAAGAGGTAAAATTTTAAATATATGTATATCATATTTAATTATTTATCAATAATTATAACTAAATTTAATTCATATACTTATTGTTCTATGACAGGTTGCATCCGTTTTGTTAGAAAACAGTGCATCGCTTACCGCGACGACCAAAAAGGGATTCACTCCTTTACATTTGGCAGCTAAGTATGGTAACATGAATGTAGCGAGATTATTGTTGCAGAAGAATGCACCAGTTGATGCTCAAGGAAAGGTTAGAACAGTTATAAAAGTTATTACCTCTATTGCCATCTATTTATTTCTTTAAATAAAATATCGTTATCAATGTTAAATATGATTTTTATGTCAAACACTAATTTCTTTGTTTAATCGTAGAATGGAGTGACTCCACTTCATGTGGCATCTCACTATGATCACCAAAATGTAGCATTACTTCTACTTGATAAGGGCGCATCACCTCACGCTATGGCTAAAAATGGCCATACACCATTACATATTGCTGCACGTAAGAATCAGGTAAATAACTTAAAAGATACGAGTAAATTAAATATTGTAATATATCTTTTATAATAATGTAAACATAATTTTTGGGCTTGATGTAGATGGATATTGCAACTACTTTATTGGAATACGGAGCAAAAGCAAATGCAGAATCAAAAGCAGGATTTACGCCGCTACATTTGAGTGCACAAGAAGGCCACACCGATATGTCAACGCTGCTTAGTGAGCACAAAGCAGATACAAATCACAAGGCAAAGGTAGTATAAATTTCGACAATTTATTATATTTATGACATCTGATTTCGTTGTTTAATAATTATTTCTCTCTCTAGAATGGTCTCACGCCGCTTCACTTGTGCGCACAAGAAGACAAAGTTAATGTTGCCTCTATTCTCGTTAAAAATGGTGCTCAAATTGATGCTAAAACAAAGGTATGATATATTATGGAAATTGCAATATTTTGTTTTGTTTAAAAATATTATTAATTAAATATGTGTATTACAAAAAAATAAGAAATATAAAAAACAAATTTTAGTACACACATTAGGTATAATTTGAGAAATGAATTCAATTTATACGTTTATATGAACTTTATTCCTTATTTCAATGTATATTGCCTTAAAGCTATATTCACGTATTTTGGTATATAATTTTATTTATGTTTGATCCACATTTAACAATTTTTTGCTTTAGAATAACGAAATATAATAATCTGAAAATTCTTATTATTGAAATTTTTTAAAAATGTTTTTTGATTAAGAAAGATGTTTGTTTGTGGTACAGGCTGGTTATACTCCGCTACACGTGGCAGCTCATTTTGGTCAAGCAGCGATGGTACGATTCCTTTTACGATCTGGAGCAGTTGTTGACAGTAGCACGAATGCTGGATATACTCCATTGCATCAAGCTGCCCAACAGGGTCATACGTTAGTGATTAATTTACTGCTGGAGGGTAAAGCAAAACCGAACACTACTACTAATGTATGTCAAGTTCATGAAAAACTTGTTTTCGTATTTTATTTAATTGTTCTAATTATATAACGTTCTGTCTCCTACAGAATGGACAAACAGCTTTAGATATTGCACAAAAACTTGGTTACATTAGCGTCATCGAGACACTGAAGGTAGTTACAGAAACCGTCATTACAACGACTCATACAGTTACTATTGAAGAAAAATACAGAGTACAAGCTCCTGAATCAATGCAAGAGACGTTTATGAGCGATAGCGAAGACGAAGGGGGTAAGTGTTTGTGTTTAATATTTCCTATTCTATAATATCTCAGATACTGTTCTAATGATAAATATATTTTGTGTAGTTTTGCAAAATTTATTAAATATCTAAATACGAACACAAAAAATATTGAAGTAACATTAACTAACAAACTACATCTTTAAATTGGCTAAATCAGCATATTTTTGTATTATATAACGATAAGATAAATTTTAATCTATCATTCTAATTTGTTTGTTTCCAATTTGATCTGCTATCATTTCCTAGAATATTATTTTACTAGAATATCGCATAGTAATTGATAATACAATAATCAGTAGGTATTTGCTAATATGTTTGTAATATATGTAGGTCTGCTTCTGTAATCATGCTTTTTTATAGATGTGACAGCTTATATAGTGCGGTTTATATATAGCAAAATATTACATACATCCTTGTTTTAGTAATTATTGCACAACATATGTGCAAATTTATTGCATGGAACTATGCTTTTAAGCATTAAGTATTTACTTAAAATAATAGATATATAATTAATTAAACTGTTTTTATTAGGGAAAGATTATAATAATCTGTATTATATTATTTCACAAATCTGAAATTTTAGGTCAGATTAACGTAAAGTGATTTATAATGATATACAAGAATAAGTTTCTTCTACTATTATATCTTTTTATACAATACGTTTGGTATATAACAATAACAAATTTTGTGGTATAACTTTATCGTGAACTTATATACATATTTCGATAGCATTTTATGGTAGATCTGTTCTTCCATATATATTATACTGGCTGTAAACTGCAGTTCATCATACATTACATACAATTAAAAAATAACTTGCACTAGGAGATATAAAATGTTAAAAAGATACACACACGCAGAGGACGTATTGAAATAGCACTTTTCGTTTTCGTTTAGTTACATTACAACAATAGTATACTCTAGAAATGCATGTAATTATTTAATGCATGAAAGTATACAAATGTATGAACTTTAGCATGTACACTATGAATCCTACAATAATTTTCCTTAATACAAATTAGCAAGATTCTATTTAGAGAGGAATCACAAATACACAACCATTTTAGATTAGTAAAGACATTGATAACCATATTACATATGTATTAGACATTTATAGATTGGATGATAAATATGTACCATTTATGATGAATTTTCTTTAATAGAAAAGAAAGAAATGTTTATAAGAAGTTATAATTATTGACTTTATATTTCTGAAATAAAGTCAGAGAGCTATATGGAAATATTATTTGCTTTTTCTGTTGCGTTTATGTTACATTCAGTTTCGCAAGAGCATGTATTTAGCATATGTTCACTGGGTTGTTGCTATCTTTGAAGAAAATATTTAACTTCCCTAAATAGAAGCGTAGTCTTTAGTCGTATAAATAAAGGTTAGTAATTAACTAAATACCTGTCGAGTATTTGTTATGGAATCTCATAGATTGTAAATATTTTCAATTCTAGTAAAATTTTCACGTTAATGTCGTATTTGCCTTACACAGGTAATACTATTTTTATTAGAATCCGTGAGTACCAATTTGGAATCTATTCTACGATGAAAGATTATTGTTCGGAAATAGTAGTATCATCATACATAGTCTATTATCGGCTAAATTATATTAAACAAAGCTATAGTTATCTGTGTAAGATTTAATATACATAGTAAGTAGTTAACAGCAACGTGCTTTAGACTAAATTCTCTTCCTTTTTAACAATTTATGTAAACTTAATCATAACAAACAATAGATTTAACAGGTTTGCTTGTTTGCTTAATTAAAATTTACAATTACATATCTCTTTTACACTAATAAACATGAAGTATAAATATAGAATAAAAATAGCTATTCGCTATTCTCTATCAAACTCTAATTAGAAATTATATCAAATTAATTTCAATCGTATTATTTCTTATTTAATATTCAATTAAATTTTTATTTTACTACATATAAAGAGAGTAGTAAAAACAATTTATATGCATTTTTTTTAAATAGCTGAAACGTTGAACGTTGAATGTCTTATCAAATACGTGAGTTAATAAAAGTTTTTGAAGTCGAAGCAAACGAACAAACTACGCTCGCGGTAGGTCTATCTTCTGCTACGTAAAGTCAGCTATTTAACAACCCAGTGATAGCGAAATTTAGAAACAGTGTTTATGGTGCGAAATTAGCGTTTTGATAAAAAATGACCTTACTCGACGGCGTACAATGTAGGTGGTGATGAAATCGGCATGGCAGCCATGAATGTGTACGGGCAGCCTCCACACGCGCAACACGTGTACCTTCCTTCTTACTACCGGGGCCAAATGACCTATACCTGTAAGTTGTCTGTACTCTGTTTCTGTCACTCTTTCACATATCACACGTGCGCGCAACATACTATATTTATACATACATATATACATACATACATATATTAGCACATGGGTACGTAAATTAATCTCGCGTAGTACGCGCGCATTGGATCATTCATATTCTGTCGATTTCACTTACGTAATCGTAACAGTATTTTTTACTTTCATGCCAGCTATTAAATGGCCCATGCATTTACATTTTAAATATTCACTAATTCTTGGTCAAGTCTGCTTAATATTAAACTCTTGACTCTTTTTTTCTTACTTTCGTGTTGCAACAGTTACAAAATTTTCGATCTATCGCGATACCATTGATTTTTATGAACGAAAAAGGACTGAACGAGAGATTCGCGTATTTTCCACTTTCAGTTCGTTCTATTGTAATTCTTCTTTTCTATTTTCACTCGTGGAAACATAAATACAGAGACATGCACAGACATATACCTATCCTTAAACCGTTATTTGTTCACACTCTGTTTCGTTTACCTTCCTTGTCGGTCCATTTCTCCTTTATAAAGTTGCAACCCTCCGTATCTTGGATACACCTGTAGTAGCCGTACAACCCTGTTAATGAGATTTATATTTTGAGTTTTAAATGTTATAATCGATTTTTGTTGTGCTGCAATAATTTTAAATGCTATCGAAATTCAATGATATTATGTACGTCGGGAATGTCAGTCGCGTTAACTCCAATAAATATTCGATTCGTATAGAAGATACGATGATACTTTCACTTTTACTAATTCCATGTTGTTTGATTATTAAATATTAATTGCAACTAATATATGTGGATATTATAAACGGGGGCAAGAAAGTTTTCAAGAAAACACGTTGAGTGAAATGTTATTTATTTTCCTAAATATCTATGTCCCCATCTATAACTTTGTATTACATTGGTCGCGGAATCCTCAGCAAATATACAGAAACTATTCTTGCTGCTTGCAGTTCAGCAAGATCATTATCATCTATTCATTACTTGTCGCATCTAAATGTCTTACACGGACTCTACATATATTATGGCGTATACAAGCAAGAGTTTAATTCTGTCTCCACGGTGCATTAATGCCATCAATATTCAAGGCTTAATATCAATCAACTAGAATATAAAGAATTTATCGATGCAATATATTTATAACAACGTAATGGATCCATTCGTACGATACATTTAACATTATTCTAATTTATGAAAGAAGGAGAAGAAAATTCTTCTTAAATTATTCAAGAGGAACTTCCAAACTCTGAAAAGTATTATAATTTTTCTTGAGATTATCGAAATGAAATTAATCACAATTTTAAATAAGTGAAGTTGAATTTAACGATGCCGCGTTAAAGTCGGTCATGCGTTCGCATTTTCGAATCTAAAATTCAGAAAACGGTACGTTAACGAAGTAGGGCGCGTTACTACTGTTAATGCAATTTGCATAATAACGAGTTGTGCGATCATTATGCCAGTCGACAGGAACAGAAGTAGGCTTGTATGGTCTGTTTTGACGTATCATCCACGTACCTATACGCATTCTGCTTCAGCTGTTATGCAACAGCCGGTGTGCATCTTGTACCATATTATTCGTGCAGTTAGTCGAACCCCTGTTAGCTGGCAAGTCGCCAAATACGATTCACGACCAAAATATCAGAATTTATATAACGAATTTGTTTCTTTTTTTTTTTTTAAATCGGCGCGCAATTTGTTTTCGCGACGTTCGCGACGCGTGGAATGCAGGAAAGTGATCCAGAAATTCTGATTGCGATGGTTAGCGTTCACGTTACATCTTAAATGGGACAGTGCGTACTTCACGAAGCACAGAGAACTTTATACGTTCATCGTTGTCTACACTAAGACTACGTTCGACTTGTTTGAAGAGCGATCATATGTCTTAAAATTTCTATCGCTAAAGAACTAGAAAATGGAAGCGTCATGCATCTCGTGTCATTGAGAAAACTAAAGAAAAACCTCATCGCAAGATCTGTTTCTAGATGAATTATACATCAGATTCTCATTAACGTTCGCGAATATGCTTCACAGAAGATCAGTAGTCCTTAACCACAGCATCATGATCCTGTATTCACGTTACGCGATTGTTTCTGTTCGTACGATGTCTTGATAAAGCCCATTCAGTGCCAACAGTTGCATATGACCACGCTTCCTTAGCGTTCAAGAAAAGAGTTGCGAATACTTCGAGATGTAAATAAAGTAGCGGAAAAGCTCAGAGGCAGCTACTATTATAAAATTGGTGATTCATGAAATGAGGTCACGTTTCTCTTAGGTAGTCTTGCGTCGAACTTGTATTAATCTTAAAGCAGTCGCTGTTCCTGACCCCGCTGGTGCTAGCACGCGACGAAATACCGCGAAAGAAAGGAAGCATCCAGGTCGTGCGCGGTTAATGCAATTTAGCAAATAAAATCTAATCAGGTGATTACACGTATTGTGGTTTGCATAACGTGGGCTTTCAGTAATAACGACACCTTGGAACGGTGTATATTATATCGGTCCACGTCGTTTCGTTGATTTTCGGTGCCTGCACGGTGCACAGAACGACAAAACAAACAGTAGGAAGGAATTGATAGTGAAGTGAGCCGGTCACAATTGGTGAACGTCGTCAATGGATGCGTAGCGATAACGTGCGCTAATTGTAATTCGTGTAACCTAACTCGCATATCGTCGACGGCTAGTTGAGTCGGTGATGTAATTAGTCCTGTACGGAGCGTACACCGTCAGTACATCGTGTTCACTGGGCTGAGTACAGAGTTCCGGCGATGTACTAAACTTTTATCCACGGAAGAGTGTGATCGTTACAATTTCACTCCGTGTTTTCGATATACAGAGTTTCCTAGTCCACGCGTTTTATCGAAACTCTGTTTAATAAATATTTCGCGGGTTTTTTCCTCGTCGTGGTGCAAAAGAAAAATAGTCGTCAAAATGGCCAAAGGAGGACGATCGAAGCAGAAGCAATCGAAGAAGATAACGTGTTGCGGGTGTACAAGCAACAGGAGCAGCGACAGCGCATGTAAATATGTTCATCTATTCTTTTACGATCGTCTTTAGCTTAATGTAATTTTAGCACGGTTAATATTCGCTTTAATCGCGTGAGTGATCAAGGTTTTTCTAAATTACTGGTTGGGCGTGTTCTTCGTTTGGTTCGTTAAATCGACGTTTTGCGTGCTCTTTTCGATTATTATTCAGAAAAATTAATAAATGGGAAAGCTGATATGCCTGCAGGCGCGAATCAAGTATATGATGTTTTAAAATGTTGCTTACATGCACAAAATTTTGGCAAAGATGTTATGTCAGTCACATGGTTCGGATATGTACAATATCATAGTAAATCGTAAATTCCGAAGTTGTCTTAGTTTCGTAACACGACATACATATAGAACATTTTGTATATTTACATTCTTTATTTAAAACAGGGTTCTTGGTTTCGGTAATTCCGTGTTGAAATTGAGATATTTAATGAAAGTATTATAAGTGTATGAAATTCTACATTGTACCGGTTTACTGACAGGTAATTTGTCTTCATTCTTTAATTAAATTGAATTTTTTCGTTGTTCTTGTTTTCAATTTTTTTCAGTTGATTAAGATATATATTGAAAAATATTTTGATTATAAAAATGATTAAATATCGAAAAAACAGTGTTTAATATAGTACTCTTAACCCGATAACCAATGCTTGCGAAGTGATAATGGAAGACTCCGGCACGCGACTTTGTTTTTCCAGACTTGACTGTGTTAACAAAAGTTAAATATTCATAGCCAAGAGACAAAGAAATATGAAATATTAAAACAGTTGGTTTTTTTTAGAAATACATAATCTATTAGTTTATGATTATATATTCAACTAAAAATACGGTAAAATACGATTATACTGTATGTCTTTGCACGCTATAGATTATCATATCATATTGTATATCATATCAATCATTTTGACATTTTACTTGTACTGTAATGAGATACCACTGTCCTGATCACACTAGTAACATTTGAAATCAAAATGTATATAGAAATTAGGAGATACTTATTGTAATCGTGTATTTGATAAACAATTACTAATGAATCATCTTAAGTACATAATAAGTGTTAAAAATAGTCTTTTTTAAAGTTAAGTTAAAAAAAACGAATAATCGACTGTTTAAACTTGCGATGTACTTTTGTACTACATATTTTGCAATTTTTCTATATATTTCAAATTTGTTTTAAACTTCTACTAATATAATCGCAGTCGCGCCGATGAAATTTCAAAATGTTTCGTACAGCGCGCACAATATATTGATAAAAGATGCTTAGAAGCGTTAGAATACTTGCACAAGCCTGTGTATTTAGAGAATCAATATTTTAATCGTTTAATATTATCACACGTTACAAATGTATCTTCATTCAAAACGATTCGTAGAATATACGCGTGTTAACGCGAGATATGTACGAATGGAATCAACCATCTATTTTCAGTATATAGATAAATTTATTTATATAAAAAGTGTATATATAATAGATAATATATATAGATAAGATATGTGAATAACATCACCACGTTTGTGCAACAAAACATTTAAATGGTGCCACAAACTTCGTTCACTCGCGCAATAATTTCGACGAAATGTTTACATTTCCGTCCGTGAAAATAATATTAGCGGGGAAATAGATAGGGTAAAGTGAAGGTTCTATAAATTTCCACGTCTTTTTCGCCGTATAAACCTAAATACCAGGACAAAATTAGACGCATATTTACACGCAGAGTACCGTACGTGCTTCGAAAACGATATTCGGAGATACGTCGGATACTGTAACCACGGAATTGTATCACGAGACGCTTGTGTAGCATCCGCTTGGAGAACGTGTACCGTTCGGAACGTGATTGTTCCGGTTTGGAAGTAAGTTCCCAAGTTCCGCCGGTGTATGGTCATAGGAAGCGCATTCGTATTCGTCGCGTGGGATCGACCGATCGCATCCAAACGATTATCTATCAAACGAGACCGAATACGGTGGCGGAACGTGTTGAAACTATCAGGCCATAAACGACAGAGAGGAATGGATTGGCTACAGCTAGGCAGCTTAATTGAGCGGCATGAGGATCGTGACTGTGATCCTCGTTTATGACATAACAATGAGACGGACATAAGTTGGTGACATAAGTCGCGAACGATGATATTGTGAACGCTAACTGGAGGGGCAATGATCAAGGCCAACCAGTTCTCTTTACCGTAGAAAAAGAAAATAAATGATTTGATGGTTTCGTATTCTTTTCGTAGGTCTTTGATGTTCCACGATTTATTCTGTCGAGGCCAACGGGCTCGGTCGTACCACGGCGATATTAATGCGATTAAACCCGGCGGTAAATGTTTATTACAATTGTAAATCGAGCGCTGCTGACGTGCGTGACGCGAATCAACGGAATCGCGTAACGTCACGATCGCGCGAAACTTCAGTATCTGGTTTAAAAGTGTCAAAGCCGCGAACGGCGATACCCAGTCATTGCGATCACCGACGGATATATTGAGATTTCACAGAGTTTTCTCGTAGTGAGTGATACTATTTTTGAAGTTACTTGGTGCTTCTCGGTGGCGGTGATCGATCGACGAAAACAGACGGTGCTCGCGATACGTGGAATCGAGAATTCGATTAACACCGATGCAACGTGACATAAACTAAGTGTCTCGTTGATTACGATTAGGACTATTCTGGTCTATGACGGAGCCGGTCTAACTGCATTCAACAAGATTCGACATGATTACATAGTTAGTTTTCACAGGCGCGCGTGTACTCAGGAGGATATAGGTCACTGCCTATGAGGTCAACTATTCGTAGATAGAAGCTTAGAGGCTTAGAATGTTATAGAATTACTTCGGTAGGCTGTCCTTGAACAATTCTAAAATTAGAGTTTTCGCGGTACAGTTTCTCCATGTGCCTAACGGTTGTGGACCAGTTGCTTCGTGTTTCTATTAATTTTAGATGTTATCGATTCCACAGTCACGGGTTTCAAGCAGCTCTCGAGATAACGAGTGACATCATTTCCATGCGTACGGCTAGACCCTGAAACGTCATCGAGCGAGAAACGGAAAACTTGAAATTGATCACTCGCATTGTCATATACAAAGGAACGAACCACGTTGGCGTTCTCGTTACTAATATTTTTTCGCTATATTATAATCTTCTTCGAACAGTGTCGCAATTTGCGTAGATTTATTTTCGAAGTTGACAACATTACGTTCTTAAGATGGAATAGGAAACGATGTATAATTTCGTTTGTGCTAGATTAATTTAGTCTTTACAGCGGCGTTATTCAACGTGGGTTGTAAATTTGTAGGTTGACCATTTATTAGATAATTGTGTTCCATATTCTTGGCATATCTGATAAGGCATGTTTAAAGTTGTATGAAATGATTGGATAAGCGAGTAGATCTCAGTCTTGTGAAAAATACGATACTATTTGTACGCGTTCATTTATACGCTCACGTTTCTTTCTAGTTCTTTTCTGAAGTATTTTTATAGTACGTTTACGGCGTTTTACGACCGAACTGTAGAACAAAAGTAGAAATTTAATAGTATCTGAAAACACGTTCGACGATTCTAAACTTCAATCGCCTGTGATTATATACATATGCGAATGTGTACGATAATCAAACAGGAAACGATACGTGAAAAATTATTCAAATTCCATTTTAATCGAATTAACTACGAATGAATTGATTATGAAGAATCGTCGCAGAGAATTACTCAAATATTTGTATGAGTTATATGTTTCGCGCAACTGATATTACAAGCGTTATCTGCCTGGCGTGAAACACTCGAAGTCTCTTGATACGATTTAAGCAGCGTTTTTTAAAAGTGTTTTTTCTGCATATATGCAGTGGAAACCATATTCAATTTCTGTTATTTTCGACTCATATAATCAGGTATGAGAAGTGTTCGCACGAATATAAATTTCTGGACGGTCATTGACACATCGTGCACAGTCTCATTTGTTTATCGTTAATATTCTAAGGCTCCGAGTAAGGCCAAAATAACGAACACTCTTGAGTACATAATGACACGATATTTCATTTTGCTTCTTTAAGCTTGACTGGGATAATTTTTATGGCAATGATTTTCCGTTTATTTGCAGGCTCTCATATTCATTTGTTTACGTTGGTGCATAATATCTCACCACGTTTTTATATTGTTTTCATGCAAGTTCGACAGTACTTTAGATTTTTTACGAACCTCTTTTTGGCTCTTGCAAACACGCTCGCGTCATTTTTGCCGCTGATTATAATTCGCACTTTACGTTTATCATAGGTGAAGATCCGATGCTTAGCGACCAACAGCAATATCGATACATGACTGTTGACGATATGAAATCCATGGGGGATGACTCGATGCGCGTCAACGTGACAGATGACGAGAGAGACAATCGACATTCCGGAGGTAAGAATTACGTGAAATTCGTGTTTCCTGTTGCAAATTCATTGTTCTTATAACGTACAATTACTTATGTAGATTCAACTGATTAGATTTGATTATGTAGATTATTCAACTGATAATAGTATCTCATTTACCCAAACTCTAAAGAATATCGTCAAAATCGAGGCTTCCAAATGTGAACCGTGTCGTTTTGGAAAATATATTCCAAAAATACGAGGCTTACATCCGGATGTATCAATTTTGACGATTGCGTGATTCAAAGCTAGGATAGTCTCAAACCTTTGTCAAAACGATATCAGATATTTAATTATCACATCTTACTTTATTATTAATTAATCCTTTCTACTCCACTAATGTCCCGACAACAATAATGATAATATAAATATTGTTTCTTGTATTGCTATCGTCGATAAAAGATGAGAAATGTGGAAAGTTCTGTATTCTTTTTTTTTAACGAAAGCTTTGATTGAAAAAGATTTTACTATGGAATGCTGATAAAAATTTCTAGAGTTCAAACGCTTAGACCTTTACATGTTGTGCTATAAGAGTATAAAGAATAAAATAACACAAGAATAGTAAACAGGTAATATTTGATTTCATATAACGCAGAAATATTATTTAGTAATAATGTTTTTATTATACTTCAATGCTATTTTCTGTATTTTATAGTTCGAAAATTATTGAATATTATTCTGCTTATTTTTTCTACCTTACATAGAGACATATCGCGTTTATTCGTTTTTTTCTTACATTACGACACAGTATCTAGTTAAATCAATGGTACAACGTATTGACGGAAAATGCAAAACGAGAATTAATTTTGCGCTCCTAGAAACGGAAGAGGTTTCAAGGGCAATTTAATTTCTTCTAAGTGGAGTGCTGCGTTTTTTATCCCTTGCGCGGTAGCGATTGTAGAGTTCAACAAGGTATAATGAAAGGTCATTCGAGACGATGGAGGGTCATAAATTAATGAGTCTTGCTTTACAAAAGATGCTTGAAGTGTTGGTTGTTTGTATTGGTGCAGTGATAATAGATAGTGTCTTGAAAATTGCACAAAGGCGTGTATTTATCACTTCCGGATTAATTAATCATACGTCAGAACTATCGTTTATTCAACGTATATGAATTTTTCTTTTGTTTGTAACATTTTTAAACGTGAAATTTAAGGAGTAAACTCGAACGAGCTAAATTTTCGTTGTACGATCAAAAGATTCGGGAAACTATTTGAAAAATTATTTGGTAACTATAATTTTATTGTAATTATAACGTTAATTATAAAAATAACATATAATAATTATAACACTTATGTACAAAGATGTTAAAGTGGCACATCAAGACTTACAATATGATGCAACATACAATTTATTTATGTATTACAACTCTTCGTCATTTCCGATCATTTTTTTCGATAATGTATGTAATAACTAACACGCAATTGTTGTTCTAATAATAGGACGACTAAAGAAACGGTATACATAAGCAGTACTTTGTCCAAGACAGTTGACTTCGACCTGTCATTCTTCGTCACGCGATAAAATTTATTTCATATTGCATCCGTCTATCTCTAAAAGAAATTTAGTTTCTTAATTTTCGAACGAATGCTTTTTATTACGGATCACACATCACATTTTATGTGTTCTTACGCAAAAGATGCGGTATTGAAGTACATAGATTATTAGCACTATTTTCGCTTCAGATCTTGTTTTTTATTCTTTATTCATTAGCGTTATATATCCCACATAACATATTTCTAAACTTCATTTACAAATAATTTTTATTATTTACAATGGTAACGTTTATATTATTAATTTTCTAATTTTTTGAATTAATACAATACGTTCCATTTCCTTCTGTCTTCAAAAATCTTGTAGCTAATAGAAGATATTAAAATATTTACGTGAACGATTTGAACTTTCCACAATTTTCTTGTATATACGAGCAGAGTATGTAATTACGAATAATACTGCCAAAGTTATGGTGGGCGTCGTATTCCGAATGATTAAACAGAAAAACACTTAAAAGAACAATAGAAGCATATCCATACTTGATAAATTCTAAAATGCATATCTAAAATGCATCCACGTGATAGCTCGCGTTAATTATTTCCATATTACGTATTTAATATAGGGGAAGCGTTACATGTTTAATAATAAATTTGATTTATAGCACCAATGATAACCGAGATGATCACAAAAGAAAATTATCAACGTACAAACGCTGCCAATCTCAAACTAGACAATGTTGATATTAATAGGCACCCAGTACACGTCGGGTATGTATTAATTTATTCATCCTCTTATTCTATAAACACCACTCATCTAACACTAGTCAAACAATTGTACAATTTAGGGTAGGTTGTATTATTCATTCATAATTGTATAATACTGCTCTGAGCAACTCTTTTGTATCATAAAGTGCTTGACAAAATTTGTATATTTATATTCATGCTATAATCTATTTAATTTGTACATTCTTTGGAATTATCTTCATATACCGTGATATCTGACAAAAATTTGTTAACTATTATACAACTTACCCCATTGACATATTTAAAAATATATCTAAACTACTTGCGTTTTTAAGTATTTTATCGGGCAAAGACATATCTGTAAGATCTGTCTGCAACATATTAGAATACGTTTCAATTGGTTTTAATTTGCAGAGTTTGCGAGGGTGTTCGAAATTTTTCCAAATTCTCTTCGATTATTCTCAGATCGATCTTTCTTGTTTATGAAAATTTTCCCAGTTGAAAATTTGCATCGTCATCTATTGAATTGGAAATTGTTTGCGAAGTATACATACTATACATGCACGACGAATTAAAGAGGATGTTCAATCCGACTTCTACTAACTGAATTACCGAGATAGAAAGTCAACGAAGCCGATCTCTATATTTGCATGGTTTGTTTTAATACTTAATAATTGCGCAACGTAAATAAGATACAAATCAAATATGTACAGATTAACACGAACTTCAAGCTGTAGTCGAAATTCAATATAATATATAAAAAATGTATGTTGAATCTTTAAGTTCTCATGCTTGTAAAAAAAAAGCTCGTTGCTACACGTAACTGAATTTATAACACAGATTATTTTGATAATCTAAGATAATTACACAAAAGCTTTGTTGTGTTATTGAAATACGTTCTTCGTTAAAGTTGGCGTAATGCATTTCATTGGGCAAGAATTGCAGTATCGGAAAACTGTTTCTTTCAAAAGGCTATAATTGGCGTTTGTCGTATTGGATTGGAAAAAGTTGTCGGAACTCTATTTATACACACCTGTAGGAAATAACGTCTATTGTAATTTTGATACAGTTGGAAATTGTATATAGAACGTAGAAGCATATAGTACGCAAGCAGTGGCGTACATAAAAAAGAGAACAATAATAATGTTCATATCATGAAACAATAATATTGTGTATTATAGTGTGATACGGTGTGCATTGGTGAAAGACTCCTGCTCTAATTAACCTAGATCATTGGCTGATATATAATAACAAAATGTGGTACAGGATTGTAAGAATTTATATTTACGAGAGCCGCATAAAATGAGCTTGAACTTTCTATTTTCACAGAACTCTTCCAAATTAATTTTTAGTTGGCTTCACGTATTTTTTAGCGTAGACAAACTAACGAAGTACGGCGAATAAAAATACCTTTTTATCGTATAACGACGTACATGTACCAAAATTGACACGTTCATACATTGACCGCATCAAACTGATAAATAATAAAATAAAAAGGTTAAAATCGAGTGGATCGTAAAAAGATACTACGCTACAATCGGAAATCTGCATTTCAAAGCTTTCCATAACGTTGTTTTACGTTAAATTTTCTTTATGTAGAAAGTAAAGAGGTTATTATGGGACATACGTAATAATTGACATAATTCGTTGTTACATAATCGCGAACATAATGAAAACATAACAGCGTAACTGTCATCGCGGGGACTGTCACGGAATGTTTCAAATGGAGCCAACGAGAATCAAACCAGTAACTGAACTCTAATCAGTTTTCTGTTACACATCATATCTCTCACAGCAAGCTATTTTTTAGCTACTTTCTTTTTAATTCTATTCAGAATGTTCAGTTCAATGTTTATGTAATCGGCCAACCAGCTAAACAAGAGCCAACCGCTTGGTGCCCTCGTTTACATCCTGTCTTGCTCGTAGCAATATTAGATTATCTAGTTAATAAGCATGTTGTTCTTGAAATATCTTTGGGATGAACGATTCTTTGATGGTGTAATTTAATTGGATACCATGTTCCTTACTAATAACAGGCGGGTTGTTACAATTTCAGAAGTCTCGTACTTAATCGAGGAATAGACAAGTACATAGTATAACGTTCTACTAAACACGAAGTAAACAAATCACACATTCTTCTATTTTATTCTAAATATTATTAGAAATATGCGATGATGCTAAGTATTACACAAGTACTGTCAAATGAAACATTACGGTGTAAAATTAATGTTTTTGTTCTTTGTATCTTTTACATTGATATTTTATAAATATTTTTAAATCAATAATAAATTGAATATATCTTACAAACTAATTTTTTTTCTGTTACTAAGAAATTAAGAAAGAGTAGTATGTTTGATACAATGGTACTTTTGTATTTTACATTTTCAATGGATTCTTTCTTTGCGTTTAGTAGGACAGGATACTTATCGTATCGGACAAATAACGTTTTGTTCGAATTACCTTCTTATATCTTCAGAATGTTTTTCTTATACATTTAACCATATACAAGAGCACATGTGTTTGCACGTACTTGTTTCTGAAAATGTAGAATGGTTTTTCCAAGTGCACAGATTTCCTAAAGCAAACAGCAGAGAAAAGTGCAACGTGCACGGCAAACAAAGAAAAACAAAAATAGTAAGCATGCGCATGAAACGAATTTTTTATCCATAATCATACTAGATTTTGTTCTGAGATCAGAGCGTCCCTAGAGTCCCTAAATACATCGCTGGCAGCTCTTGGTACCATGTCGAAAGGACAAGGAATGTGGAGGGACAGGTACACCATGCCCTTTTTATTACTCTCCTTTCTGTGTTTAGGCGTTTTTTACATACAATATATTTAGATATAGAAAAAGTATCGTACGTATAAAACGAACACATGACGGAAAACACATTACATTCGCATACACAAAGTACTATGTCTATGTCTATTACAATATAATATGTCCAAACGTCATGTTGATTCGAAGTGGCTTGTGATCTTTTTTAGCAAAGCAAATTACAATCTTAAAACGTGTATATAAATTCTATAGATAATCGTATTTTTTGTTGAATTGTAACTTTTATAATTGCGTAAATGTATCTATTGTTGGTGATTTGTATTTATTTCATATATTCTTTTCATACGATAAATTATATATATAATATGGATCATGGCCAAAGACATTAGTCCAGTCTAATTAATAATTTCTCAAGCAAATGCACAAGAATATGTAATATGTCATGATGTCAATATGGGATTTAAATATTACATTTAGAATCTCATATTTTACCATCAAATGGTACATGCATGTTATACGAATGAAAGTAAGAAAATGATTTATATAAAGGTAGTCTTGCATAAATATATTATTAAAAATTATAATAGAAATAAGAAGTTATAACGAGCTAGTTTTTCGTTCGATATAAATCAACGATAATTAAACTTCAATTCCCATACTTTACATCTATTATTCATATTTATGGACATGTTTGATTAACAAAAAATTGCATTTATCACAATATGAATTTCTTATTCGGTTCACGACACAAATTCTTTGTATTTTCTGTATTAGTACGTTGATATCTTTTCTTTAGCGTGTAAAGACTCTAAATATACATATGAAATATTTATTCCAACAGCTTGGTGTTTCATATTAAGCACCGATCGATCGTTTTCAAGCTATTGATAATACTTGTTGAACTATTGTATTGAAAAGCCGATTCGTCGATACTTCGTTTCTCTTAAATGAAATTACTACCAGTCTATGTTTGTATTTGTTATTTCTTGTTTTCATTCGTAAAACATATTGACGTCATTTTGCGAAAAAGACCTGGATTTACTAATGAATTCAATAAATTCGATACTGAACAATAACACTGAACAATTAACCTAATGGAACATAAATATAGTTGAAAGGAACATATTAGCTAAATTATGAATAACTGAACATAGAAATAATAGTTGTTTAGTAAATAATGGAATATCGTGATAAAGATTAAAAGTGCTCTTGTAGATATAGGAAGAGAATCGTTCGTCCTCTAGTTTAATGATAGTTAATTACCAATAGATAACCATTTTGGACACATTTTTATGATATAGTGGCTGCTGCTCGTATCGTTGTTCTCCCTTCTCCCTTTATGACAAGTTTGAGCTATTTTTTGCATATGTAACGAAATCTGTTGACGATATATTTATAATACTGTATTTATAATACTATGCGTAACGTAGAAAGAATTATTTCTATGCGCTTTGCGCGATGAACGAAAAATCATTCGATCGAATTGAAAAGAAGATATTACAGATTTCGGAACAATCGATTTTACGTTGCCACCCTAACGTATACCTATTTTCCGCAGAGTGTGAATGATGTGACCTCGTTGCGTCTCCACTATAATACATAATTATTATTGTTGCTCCCCATTTTTGTAGTTTTGTATAATAGAAAAGTGGCTTGCGTGTGATGATTGCGGGTTTTCGAAAATTGAATGAGAAACAATCATCATGATAAGCACGGAGGCAGTTAAAGAACGTCCAAGAGAACGAAGTTATGCGAACGTGCTGGAAAGAAATGACAAGAGAAATATTCGAAAATCTGTAAAGTTGCGCTAGTTTAGAATCTCGACTCCATCTATGTCGTCATCTTCTCACCACCATTTTTATGAACGAATGGATACTAACGCGTTTTTTATTTTGTTCCCGATCCTCTCTGTTATTTTATTTGCGCTACTCGCAGAATTCCACAGTGGAGAAAGTAAGTGATCTTCTCTTGAATCTTAGCTTCTGCTACTTGCCATATCGCTCTTCAATTTGATTTATGTTCTTGATACATTTCCTTTGAACGCACAATGCCCGTAGTCGCTCAAGTTTTAGTATTCTTAGACAGAATATTTTAGTGCACAATGAATATACGTAAATCGAAAAGATCAAATTTATGCGATAAAATAACAGGAAATCGAAATAATAACATATCTCAAGGGAAATATGATGATATGATAATATGAATTACAACAAAAATTATGTTTCGTTGTAAATCAATTTTGCCAAAAATCTCAATTTAGAATTAATAAATTTTCATTATTTATAGTTGGAAGTTGTTCCTAGAATTTTACATCTACGTAAATACAACGCTTAATATGTATTAAGCATCATCTGTTTGTCATAGCTAAAAGCTGTAATATATTCCAGAAACATGATGTATATTGAAGAGTTCTATTACATCATCTCACTTGAGCAACCTTCGTACAATTTATGTATGATCGATATTTTTAGACTATTTAATGTACGAGAAAAGAAGAATGTTATTCGTGAAGACGTTTCATTACGTGGATGTAAATGAAATATCGAATCATTTACATCAATTATATTCACTGTGCACACGTTGTATGCAACATCTTTGTGAATAATTCTCAGGTTCATTATGGAACTCGTCCTCCAGCACAGTCATCAATCAGCAATCAATAGGAAGCAATCGAATGGATCTTTGAATTCCAATTCAACCAATTTTTATAATTCTTTTTCTTTTTTCTTTTTTTATGATAGTATTCAGTGTTAATTAGCGTTACGCTTGCAGACATAGAATATTCATACAGCAAATCCTTCACACAAGCTCACAAGCCATACTGTTTCTATTTTAGTTATCTGATTTAAAATTTAATTTGCTCCATTTCTCATGTAACTTATCTTTGCACACTGTTGTCTTGTAATTAATTTATTTCTCTTTTTTTTTTACAGTTACCCCTCATACGCAGCAATAAATCATATCCAAAGCATATATAATTTTTTTGTAACGTTTACGGAACAAATTGAAACATTTAATAACTACGCCGTATACATAAAACCGCCTTCAGAATGACCTGACACGATTAAGAATAATTTCTGTATTTAACTTTATGCTTTTAGTAAAAATTTATCGTGAACGTTGCTTTTCGGCTTGGCGTGCTTATGTGATAACTCAATCGTTTCTTTTAATTGGCCTTCTAAAATATTTTTACTACGAATCGTTAAAAACAGACTAATTATAAAATACTTATTCGTTCGTTTAGAAATGATATAGATATTATAATAAAGTATTCGATGAATTAGCGCTATTTTTATACGTAACGTTATCTTGGTATGTACATAAAATTTCAAATATGTGCCGAAAAAGCCGTATTAATTCTTTGAAGGATCTAGATTAGTGTAAATATTATGTATACACATTAGTAAAAATATTTTTTTTTTCTTTAATTATAATTGGTTTGACTTAAGCGAAGCAGTTAGCATGATCGTATTATTTATCGAACGGCCAAATGTTCGCACAATATTCGTATGTAATAGTGTTGAATAATGATTTATGAGTACGTGTCCAAATAATGATTAGCCCCCATGCAATGATTGCTCTTATTTTCAAGTCTTTTTCTGTATCGACATATCGTAATGCTATAAGCTAAGGCGATATGTACCTTTCTGTTTATACGATCGACGCGTGAATTTTCTTTATAACTATGTTTATTGTATAAATGATAGCTTCCTGGTTTCCTTTCTGGTGGATGCACGAGGTGGTGCGATGCGTGGCTGCAGACATAGTGGTGTACGTGTAATCGTTCCTCCTAGAAAAGCCGCAATGCCTATGCGCGTTACGTGCAGGTATTTGAGAAGGGACAAATTGACGAACCCACCACCTTTGATGGAAGGGGAGGCTCTTGCCAGCCGTATCCTCGAACTAGGACCCGTGGGTGCCAAATTCTTAGGGTAAGTACATAATATGCAAAGTACATGATATACACAAGTGTCTCTTATATTTGCTTTTAATCTATCGTATTTAAACTAGCATTTTAATATTAGTTCAGATAATCATCGTCGAATCGATTTTTCGGACGTAAATGAAAAATTTTCAGTTTCTGATTTTTTTCCGCAATTTATTTAAGATAATATTTTAGCCTATGCAGTCGTTGTAAAAAATTGATTTTTGGAATATAGGTAGCATTATTAAACGAAGAATGTACAGTTTTTGAATTCGTCTTCAATTTGTTTGAAAAAACAATTGCGATGTATTAATTAATTCATTAAGTATTAGCATTTAAATAGTATTGATATCACGATGATTGAGGAACATTATTGACACTAATAACTTGTTGATAGGTTTAAGTATCTTCCAGATATAACGTCTTCGTTGGTTTAAATAGTTTAAATATAAAATAATATATTTTTCTCTTCTTATCAAACGATAATTGTTCTTTAAGTATGTACAAAGATTCGCATATAGCAGCTCTCTGCAATCCCACTTAAAAATTTCTCGATATCTCCAGATTGTTCTAAATTCTATAAATTATCGTATGATTCATCGTAAAGTATAACGTTGGCATGTAACAAAGAGATTTGAGATTATCCCATTGGTGACCCAAATTCGTTTGCTATTATACTCGATTAAGGAGTGCAGCTTAATGTGCAAATGCAATTTTCATGTCCTGAGAAACGTAAGTCGTGCTTCGATTAATTATTACAATTGAAGAGTTCAAACCATTTGTAAAAAAATTTTCTCTAATTCTTATACAAAATTTTAATCTTTAAATTGTAAAAAGTGATATAAAAATTCAAATGTATATTACGTTCGTAGATAAGACAAATTTGTTATTGAACGTAAAATGCAATGTACGAATACCGAATCTTAGAAATGATGAGTATATTATCAAATTTTGTAATAATAATAATTTTTTCGAATAGACCTGTCATCATAGAAGTACCACACTTTGCTTCGTTGCGGGGCAAGGAACGAGAAATAGTAATACTTCGATCGGATAATGGAGAAACTTGGCGCGAGCATACCTTGGAAGCCAGCGAGGAGGCTGTCCAAGATGTGCTTAACGAGAGCTTTGAAGGAGAAGGTACGACTATTTTCTCATCTTTTCTCAATTTAGCTTTTGTTTATCATAAATCCTGTAACTCTTTGCTTCGTATTAAAATAAATCGTACTGAATAATATGTTCATCGTTACATTTCTTAAGTACATACATATGGACAGATATACATATTTAATCTTGTATAATTTATCTTACACGACATCTATCTCACAAAGTGCTACTAAAGTACTGTCTTATCTGTTAATCGTCATTTCCATTTGTTTGTACTAGCCCAACCATCTAAAAAGTAGTAGGAAGATTTTAGGTATCAAATGATAACATCTTGAGAGTGAGATAATATTAATAGTATTCACATGTTATACTCTTTCGTATATCAGGAAATGACTCGAGTATAAACGCTAATGTGCAATTGGAATCTTGAGAGTCTTGAACAAGAACCAATACTTAGAAGCATAGCATATAATCAATGTTTGCCAATGTTTGTTGATGTAAACAATTATTAAGTGTTTTAACAACTAGTTATTTGCTCTATATCCGTTATAAATAGCTTACAGTTTATAAACAATAGTATATAATGCAATTCGCAAATGTTTTGAATAAGGATAGTTAGCAAGATCTATGTTTGAAAAATATTTAAGTTCTTCGCGTTACTTGTGTAAGTAACTTAACGAAATATGTATAAATATTTTCGCAGAATTAAGCCAGCTCGAGGATCTCCAAACTTCTCGAATCGTAAGGATACTCACTGCAGACTTCCCACATTACTTCGCAGTAGTGTCTCGCATCAGGCAAGAGGTTCATGCAGTTGGGCCAGAAGGTGGTACAGTTTCTTCATCGGCTGTTCCACAAGTTCAGGCTGTTTTCCCACCAGCAGCTCTTACTAAAAAGATCAGAGTTGGACTCCAGGTGGTTATTCTCTTCTCGATGCGTTTCATTATTTTTTGAAAACTAAAATTAAAATTAAAACAGTGAGGTATCTAATTGGCGTTCAAATTTAGTTTATTAAATAGAATGGTTAAGTCATACCAACGTACAGCATATTGAAACACTTGCAAAAATCTTTTATGAATGTATTATGTGTTATGCGGTTATAATATACGATTATAGTAGTCGTAAAGATTACGCATAGAAGCTACATAGAATCTGTAATAAGTATCCATATACATTCATGCGTTATTGAACAATTTGATATAAACGGATGAACGTCATGTAGTACATAATAGAATATTTGAAAAATCAATTACATCAAATACAACCTGTGACATAACTTGGAATAAATTAAAAAGAAATGTTATTATTATTTAGGCACATCCAATACCAGCAGATCTTGTAGCCAAGTTGCTTGGTAACAGAGTGGCGGTATCGCCAATCGTAACCGTTGAGCCAAGGCGAAGAAAATTCCACAAACCGATAACCTTAACTATACCGGTGCCGCAAGCAGCCAACAAAGGCATGATCAATCAATATTCAGGAGACGCACCGACGTTGAGACTTCTGTGCAGCATAACTGGTAATATATGCTTGCACGTAATATTGTAGAGCAGCGTACCGTCTTACTGGAAAATCTCTTACCGATAAGTGCTGAAACTGTTACGCCGCAACACCTTTGGTGTATATATGCTCTTATCAGACTTCTTACGCATTCGAAGATCAATTTGTAGTTTAGTAGGCATGGCGCGGGCGGTAGGCATCTTCGTCTGTTCTCAGGTCATCGGGACTACGTTAACGATATTTTTGTATCTCGTTAGAATAATTATTCTGTTGTTGATCTCGTAGGTATGCGATGTAAGAAGTAGGTTTGGAGTGTTTTATTTAATATTTAGGAGGTTGTACATGTTATCTAGGAGATTAATTTAAGTACGATTATAATTAATACGTCCCGGAGACCTTCGGATAGAGATTTAAAAGGGAGATGGTAGCTGCATGTTTCATAGAAACATTTCGTTGAGTACCATTGTTGTATACATATCTTGTTGTGATTCATTGTTAATGCTTGCATATTGTTAGGATTGAGTCATTTAGGTATGGATTATTAATTAACGTAGATAAAATTTTACTACCTAGCTCATTGTAAGCGTTAACTTCAAAAGTTTTTGTTTCAGCACATTCGTTTGACTGGTAACCGCTTCGATATTAGGCTTGTAATTTATAACTTCTATAAAATTGTGTTCCCAAAATATATGTACTTTTAGATCATTCTAATATGTATCATACGACACGTTACCGATACAAAGACTGACAATGTTGTCTATTTAATCTTACCGTTTGTTACAGTTACGCTGTACTTATTTTATTTACAAGTTTTACATGTGTATAACGAAGCTTTTCCGAGTATATAAAACTCAATTTTGATTTTTCCACACGTTATTATAAAAATATTTTGACGAGATTCTCGTTTCTGTTTGGTTGACAAATTATCAAACATTTTGAAAACATTTAATACATTTTATACGATCAAAGAAAAAAAAGGAAAAAAAAGCAGGAAGATATGTTTTCGACATGCATTGCGCCGCGATTTTTATTACGATTATTTTACACACTTTTGTTTTCTTTTATCGCTTATTTACTATTTAAAAGCATATTCACACGAGTCGCGTTTGCTTTCTGCGCGGTTTCCAATGTATGACGCTTTGTTTTCATTTGGCAAGCATTATCATTCGGTCAGCGTGTATTTGGTTCTTACATTACCCACACACACGATACAGCACGTACATCAACGCACTTATGGTGACCGATATTAAATACAAATTTTACCGGTTCTCTTTTATTGGTTTCATATGACAAAAGAGAACTGTCCTGTTTTAATGTTTTTCTTCCTGTTCGTGTCGTCACGCAAGGACATTGATTGTTCAAATATGTAAATTTTTCCTGTTTTTAAAAGTGAAAAAATTCATTTGGATATCATTGAATCAACATGAAATGACGTAGTCTTCGTCGTACTAATTACTTTATATTTTACAAAAGAAAATTATATTTACATATTTATTATACGATTATATTTCTTTTACGCAATATCTTCCGACAATTACAAGTTTCTTATTATAACAATATTAATAAGTATTCGCATTTCTTGATACTTTAAGCCCGGTATTAGTGTCACGATAATCTGATTTATGAGAGGAATTTAAGATTATTGCTTGTCCTAATTACGACTTAAACGAACATTGACACAGAATGCAAGATTAACTCCTCCCACTCCAATGTATTGCAATTCCAATGTAACTGTACGAGCCCTTCGATTGTTTTCTTAAACAATATTTTCTCTATAACGGCTTCTGCAGATTTATTCAATTTCATTTACCTAAGTTTCTTTTCAATATTTCAATCTTTAATTATTCTTTACTCCATTACGAAACTAGAGAACGTAGAAGACGTAGTGTACAAAATACTCGACAATCAAAGGGCAGACGCGAATATCCCGGGCTAAAAGCGTCGTATTGTAATTAATCTCGGTCGCATCGGATTTGATATCCCACACATATCACTTCTGCCGATTCTCCATTCGCAGCACGGACATATTTTAATAATGTTATTGGACTTGGTATGTATGTCGTTCAGGGGGTCAGTCTCGGGCAGTCTGGGAGGATGTCACCGGTTCGACGCCATTGACGTTCGTGAAAGATTGCGTTTCCTTTACTACCACGGTATCTGCTCGCTTCTGGTTAATGGATTGTCGGAATATCTCCGAAGCCACGAAAATGGCTACGGAGTTATACACACACGCGACACATGTACCTTTTATGGCTAAGTACGTTTTTGATGTACCTAAGATTAATCGTGTAAAAGACAAATAATCCGTACTGTAATCGCAGGTAGAACATTTCTTCTAAAAATCGGATATCGTTTCTATGCCGGGGTAAGACGAGTAAGGAGAGAGCTCGCTTAGCTTGAGTAGTGCATCGCCTAGTGACGATTATTCATAGAAATATTCATTTCATTCCATGTATCTGCTCCTTCGAACACCAATTTTCTATTATAGAAAAAGAATTCCGATTTTTATAATATATACCGTAGAAAGAGATAGTGTTTTTGATCAGCGCAGACTCTGTTTCGCAATATCAAGTCGATTACGTTTTACCTGCATGATTACAATCACGTTTAGACAGGAAATGTTACCGATACCTATTTCGTCTTCAGATTTGTAGTATTTGCAAAGCGAGTAGATCCACTGGAGGCAAGGCTGCGCGTATTTTGTATGACCGACGATAAAGAAGATAAGACTTTAGAAAATCAAGAGCACTTCACGGAAGTTGCGAAGAGCCGAGACGTCGAGGTAAATACACATATGTACATAAGAAATTACGTGAATCACTCGTTGTAATTACCGCATTGTTAACACGCGTTAATCGCCATGGAAACGTTCCCATAGGTACTGGAAGGTAAAACACAGTATATGGAATTTTCGGGTAACCTTGTGCCAGTATTGAAGAGCGGGGAACAGCTTCAATTACCGTTCAGAGCATTCAAAGAGAATAGAGTTCCGTTCACGGCGAGAATAAAGGATCCGGACGCTGCGGACATGATGGGTCGCATAATGTTCATGAGCGAGCCGAAGGTTCCTAAGGGCGAGTTGCCGCAGACGCCGATTTGCACGTTAAATATTTTATTGCCAGAGAAAATTTCTTCGGAACCCGCTGCCTCGGAGGTGGATTTGTTAGAGCTGTCGAAGAATTATAGTTTTCTACGCGACGGTGGCATAAGTACGTGAATTTCTCACGCTGATTACGAAATCCGAGCTTGTATGAATCACTGACGTTAATTGTGTCTGTAGGTCGTCCAGATGCTATTCACAGAGCAACCATTCGGTTGACTGATATCGCAAATCTGTTGGATAAAGACTGGGAAAAACTCGCGGAAGAGTTAAATATTCCGCCAAACGAGGTATCAACGATTAAACAAGAGTATGCGAATAAGCCAGCCCAGCAAGCCGCAGCGATGCTTAAAGTTTGGCAGAGCAATGGAAACAAAGCTACAGGTAAGTTTTATAAGCGTTATACAATATTGCTTTCGACCGATCTTGTTTTTGAATATTTAAAATCTAAAATTTCATTCAGCATGTTGAATCCGATTTCTTCGTATCATCTGATGCTCTTTATATAACGTCGACATAAGTTTTCATAACGCTGTGTACCTTGCAATTATTTTCCGTAATTAACTCGAATGCCAAGATTTTTATCATATTTACAAACTTATATACCGACAATCTAAATATGTTTTTTAGAATTGTTTATTAATGAGACCGTCGTATCTTTATTCTCGAAAGTATTATCGACGAATAGTCGATTATATTTACGCGAGTAACATATTTACTGGGACGTTCCAATAGACTTTGAACATCTGAATACTTGGTAACCAAAGAGAAATTTTAAATATACGATAAGACTCATAACTCAAGATGATCATTTATATTTTTAGTCATTATTTGACGAGTTTCATTAATTGAGCGATAACGAAACAAGTATTGTCGATGTCGAAACTCTGTTTCTGATTTCCATTATTTCATCTTTATAAATACACTTACAGTTCAATTCGATTCGATATGATTCAGTTCTTGGAGTTCTAATAATTCTACCATTAGCTCGCTTTTATTTCGAAATTTTCATTAAGCTATATTTACAATCTCGTTCCGATTAATTCGGTTATCTCAGTTTCAGTTACTTCAGATTTTCTTCGTAAATAATTTTATTTTCAACATTTTTGCGCGTCAGGATAAATCTTGATAGAATAGCTCTTTTTCTTGAAGTCATGTCCGTTGGTAAACATTAGATATAGTAATATATAGTAAAATTTAAACAGAACCTGTTTCTTGGCAAGGTCGATTAATCAGGCAGGCGCGTTTGACTAAGACGCGTGGAATCTGAGGAGCAACGTAGTTGGTGATCTCATCCTGCATTATTATGCCTGACATAAACCTATGGACTGCTTTCCCCCTCTTTTTTTACCAGTATTAATGACGCTGATATACAGCAGAAATGCACGTAGCACATCGTTTCTGTTCTGCAATCGGTTAAAACAAACAGAAGTACGCGCCACCTCAAGAAGAATACAGTGAAAGTGACAGTGCATTCGGTCGTTTCCCAAGTTCCGTGTTCCTATAATAATCTGCTCAATTTATTCGAACGTTCTTATTTATTTTATTTTTGAGAGGGCATAAACGCAAAAATGTTTATATCTTTATATCAAGAATATCAAAACGAAGCGACTAACACGTACGTCAGTGAACTGTCGTTATTGTTTAGGCGGCCACATTGTCCAAGACGACAGATTACTGTAACTTCAGGTCTGTATTAGGTCAAGGACAATCATTAGCAAGGAAAATACATCCTTAAAGTTCTTCCGAAGTGACGTGAATATAAATAAACTTTCTTTAGTTTGTGAGATTGACCAATTATTTTTAAAAAGTTATTATTCATGCGAAAATAATACGTTTGGGACGGTAAAAGAATTTCTGTGTTACACCCGAAGAAAAAGAAAAGAATTCGTTAGGTATCTGATTCCACGACCAGCATAAATACATATTTAATATTGTTGTTACGTCAGCGTTATTTTGTGTTTGCTAAGTGTGACGGGATTGACAGAAATATTTTATCAGTTGTACGGCGATTTTTTACAACCATTTAATTTCGATAATTTCTCGTATCAAGCTTCAATCTTTTTACGTTTACTTTTCTGTGTTTAGAGCGAATACGCAAATAAAATCGCGATTATAGCGTCCAAGTATTTAAATTGTAATTGTATTTTCAATGATATATCTAATAAGTAAAAATTGCTAGTTTTCAGATTAATAATATAACTATTATTTTTATTCCTTTATTATTGCAGAAAGATGTGTGTACTTCTGTGTAATAAAAACAAAGAAATATTAAAACCTTTAATTAAAATAATAAAAACTTAATCGAAACTAACAGAATATTAAGATTGCAACATACACTTCCGCTCAAAAGATTGGGCTACCTTTTGCTGTTTCGACGATACAATCTTTTTCGTGTAGTTTTCTGAGCAATAAGAATTCTACGTTTAGAGTAATAATATAATAATTCTACATTTTAAAGCTAAACTATAGTTTAGCGATGATGAATAATAAAATAAAACAATAAAAGTATTATAATTCTAACTTTCATCTTTAAATAGAATTAATTACAGCTTACTATGGAAGAATAATATTATAAATAAAATATTTATTTGCTTAAAAAGTCATTACTTCTTTTGATATCGTAACACGCTCCAAACTTATGGGCGGAAGTGTATATGTTATTATTTATCGTTTTATTTAAAAATTATATTTGTATGTGTAGGCAATACTTTGGAAAAAGCATTGAACAAAATTGGCCGCGAGGACATTGTGAGAAAGTGTATATTCAATGTCGAATTGGTCACTGATGACGTAGAAAAGGCCGTCGCGAGAGTTCGATTAGATCAACCTGGATTTGATTCCTTAAAAGAAGAATTGGGTCCTTCAAGGGACACTTCTCTTCGCCGTGATGCAACGATGGATCCAAAGATGAATCCTGACTATGATGATTTTAACAAAAGCAAGGTTTGTATTTTGGAGGAACAATTAGTATCACGGTGTAATTTATATTTTACATCGATGTTCTATTTTTAAAGTTATGTATTTTATTATTTTATTCGAAAGCGCATTTTTATCGAAGTAATTTATTCTGCTCTTAGGAATCTGGATCTATGGAAGACCTGAATATCAGTGACACTAAACGCGATACATGTATGTACTTTTTATTATGTGATTTAAGTAATTATAATTTCTAAATTAAACTCTTTCTGATATGATAAAGAAAGTATTCTTGAAATTGAATGACGTTTAACGTTACACTTGTCCGATTACAATACCAGAAAGGATATGACATCACTGCCTGTATTATTTCTATGAATAACACGCCGGCTCCTTTTTCGTGTCATTGCTAAGAAAAAGTATGTGAAATCATAAGTTTCGCCTCACACTTCTTAGAAGGCACATTAATGATATCGCTGTTTGTAACATCTGTTTACATAGCGCCATACTTGCTGCAGTTGCACATTCATAAGTTTCATTTCAGAAACTTCAGCGATATTTTATGAAACACATATTGTTTCTTTTCTCAATAACGATTTACGAAATTAAAAATCAATTTCTATAGTTATTAAGTAGTTGTATATTCAGGCTATGTGATAATACTCTCTAACAGATCCCCTTCTTCTCCTGTATATATTGTTTTGGCGCTTTAACAAAGCCTGAATTTTTCACGGCATTTAAATCACGTTTTCTTCGCACTTAACAGCGATACAGCATGTCACGATCACAAACGGCACTGTATTCAATGGAACCTCGACCCCCATCAAAGATAAATACGCAAGCGAGGAGAAAGAATTAGGGGACACAATGGCCGAATTTCTCGAGCACAAATGTCACGTTGCCGATACGATGAGCAAAAAGTCACGCGATGAAGTTGACGACAAAGACAAAAAACGACAGAGGGTGATCGCAGACGCCAACAAAATAGTTTCTGGTAAGTAATTTGAGCTTTTTTTGAAAAAAAAAAAAATGGTGGGTTGAGGGGCCGTGCTTCGATTAGCTACTTCAGAAAATAATAATAAAAAAAATTACATTCATTACGCGACTTATGGAAATCATCATTTACGATAATACTTCTTTACAAAAGGAAAAAAGAATCTGTAGCAGCATGATTAATTTAACGCGATAATGTCACGCTTTGTTACAGAACAACTTATATTAACCACTTATTGATAAAGTTTCAGTCGCTAGTGCTAAATAGTTCTCAAGAATTCGCTTTTTAGTGATATCGTGTTCCTAGCTATAGTATATCTCGATATGCAAATAGACGTAATGATTTTCCAATATACTTTTATGTATTATCTGTATATAAATGTATATTCTCTCCATTATATTAATTAAACGTATAACTTGTAGAACTTAAATAAGGGAGTTATGATCCTTTATTAGTGTTTCAACTGTTGCATATTATATGTAAATTAAACTAATGAAAAATAGTTTGTTAAACATTAAGATGCTAATAGCTGTATATGGCTTTTAGTATTTGCAAAACTGTGTGTTATTTGTATAATTTAAATAAATTATATTATTGTTATAATTTAATAATTATTTTGCTTGGTCAAATTAATTTCTTTATTTGTTCCGTTGATATAGCGAGCATAAGCCGAAAATCGAAAATAAATAAAAAATGTAATATAAAATATTAATGTTGTTTCATGTGCGATTTAAAGAATATAACTTTGAAAATAATTCTACACTTCTGTAAGATTGTACTTTATTCTTTATTATTATTTCATATTTATACCTATGTTCATTATAAACTTGAATCGGTTAATTATAAGATTAAAATTTCGCAGTTAATAAAAAAAAAAATAAAACATCAATGTCTTTTTATGTTGTATCATTTTCGATATTTCACACGTGATCTGTCAATTTGTGTTTCTTTCAATAAATTGAAAATATCATCTGTTTATCGTAAAAGTTTCGCTCTATTCTTAGTTTTATTATGATTTTCGCTATGTACTATACACCGCTACAAATAAATTCTTAATTACTTGCTTGTTATTTTCAAAACAATAATTTAAACCATAAAGTGGAGAGCAGTAATTATTGTTTTGGAAATATTTTTTTATCAGGAATCATTACTTACAATGTTATTATTGACCAGATATATTTTTTGATATTAGAGTCTAGGTGATTTTTGAAAGTATAGCACTGCATTCATTCTGGACACGATTCACATCTGTGAAAGTTGTTAACTATGAAACATTGTTGGCACTAGAACATTTACTTCTTTTACTTTGTCATCTTTTTACTTTATCATCTTTTACTTTCACTGACAGGTTCTGGAGGGCTGATGCGGATTTCTTCAAATTTATCAGCTTGCTTTTATTTTAATTACGTAATGAATTATTTATTTTATCGCCTCTCAATTACATCTCATATCTACTGTATTATAATGCGAACTCTCAGTGTCTTCACTTAATGATCCACTAATAGTCTTCTATTTCTTCGACACATCCCATTAATTTGTTTCAGCAAGGTTTTGCTGCAATTTTTTAGCGTTGCATGAGTGGCCAAATTTGTGTGGCCTAATTGTGCGGACGCACAGAGCAGCTGTCATTGTCGCATACACTTATTTCGACATTCTTATCTGAAAAATAACACATTTTCAGAAAAAATTTATGGTGAAAATTCACACTAAAAATTTATATGGAAAATGGTGAAACTTGTTATTCCAAAAATACAAACAAGATAAACTCACGTCATTTAATAGTTTTTTCTTCCATTACGATTCAATTCGCTATTCGTAAATATCAATAATATCGTAAATTTTAATTGTTGTAGCGTTAAAGTTATGTACCAGCGGCGATTTGACGCGATTGATATGTATTCACAGATTAAACTTAGATTTTCTATAGAATACATAATTCGTTCCTCGCAGCATTTTAATGCTTATTATTTTTATTTTTTATTAGATTGTTATTTGTTTAAATATAAGTGTAATCATTCGATGGAAAGATGGCTGCTCTATAGCACACACGTACCACGCACAAAACCACACGAGAGTCTAACCGCTGTTCTCAAAGAGCAATATCGAGCGAGCCGGCTTACACTAATGATGACGAAATGAAATAAAACAAACAAATGTGTTCTTCCTATTTTGCAACGTTTACAGATGCCTAAAATATGTAATAATTAATTAACAGGTGTAATAGCAGACGCAGAGAAAAAGAAGGAGAAGTTAGCGAAGGAAGGGTGGTCGGTGGTTTGTGATGATGATGCGCGGGACAATAAAGAGGCAAGAGGTGCTATAGTTGAAAGTTTTGTTAGGGATCAATTCGTTGACAAAGAACCTAAGGATAAGGTCGTTAAATCCGATGAAAAACTAATTGTCGATCGAACGCCAGTTATCGAACCACCGATAATTAAACAACGTTACATTCGCGATGGGAAGGGAGATGCGATTATTGCATCGAAAACTATAGTTTCAGCCATCGACGATAAGAGTCAACTGCCAGTGATTACTCAGACTATCACGATTAAAGAGATAGATCAAACGATACCCACAGACACAGCGACGATCTCCAATGGTAAACAGATTATCATAAGCAAAAAGGAAATGCTGTCTAAAGAAGGTAAGGAAATTGATGAAAAACTAACAACTCCTAGCATAAGTATTAAAAAACAAGATGTAAAATTGCCAGAAATAGCTAAAGAAGTTCCACAAGACGAACAGAAGCAAGAATTGCCGAAAGAGGCTGTTGCCAAGACTAACATTCCAAAAGAAACGAAACCCGCGATTGATAAGCAAGTATCTGCTTATGAGACCGTTTACAGTGTTCAGTATCCATCTACACAGCCAGACGAGAAGCAAGAGGATGAATCGAAGAAATCAAAAGATAAGAGCGGAGGCATACTCTCAGGCATTTTCAAGGGATCCAAGCTTAAGAAGAGCAAATCGAAAGGATCGAAGGACACGTCCTTGGACAGTGGCGACGAAGAAATAAAAGTACCAGTGCCTACAGTTACGGAACATCAAACGCAGCAACCTACTTTCGTTTCATATGATACACACGTAGATTACAAACCTGTTGAAACGAGCGTGTTACCTGACGTTAAATTGGCTACCATGCAATTCTTAGATGACTCCAGGCGCAGTGATTTGAATGTACACGTACCTGATATCGCAGTGAGCTCGACTCAAATCGAGAGAAGAGAAGTGAAAGAGGAACCGAAAGTAACGGTTAAAGAAACAGATGATCGTACTGGAACTATGGCAAGTGATGCAAGCGACCAAGAGAAAGAGAAGGGTGGTGGTTTCTTTGGTATATTTAAGAGTCCTAAATCGAAAGAGAAAAAGTTAAAGAAAAGCAAGGAAGCATCTTTCGACAGTGGTGACGAAGAACTTCGAATCGCCACAGAGAAATTCTTGGACGATACACGAAAGATTGCTGAAACTACCATTGTTCCTACCGCTCCTAAAGTTGACACAAAACAAGACCTGCATACGTTTTCGTCGTCGGTTCATTATGATGAAGATACACCTAAAGATAAAATAAACGGACACTCATATGATATCTCGGAAGTAAAAAAGAAATTAGACACAGATAGAAGTACTCCTCACAAAGAAATGAATGGAAAATCAGATATTAAGAAACACAAAGACCAGAAAGAACACAGCGTGGAAAGGTATACCGGTAAGCCAGAAGCAAAGTTAGAATCACCGGATAAACAAAAAGAAGATGAAAAGGAAGTAGATGAGGAAGGTAAAGATAAGAGCGGCGGATTCTTCGGCATGTTCAAGAGTCCAAAATTGAAAAGTAAAAAGAGAAGTTCATCTAGAGAAAAGAATTCATCTAAAGAAACATCCTTCGACAGTGGAGATGAAGAAACACGACAATTGACAGCCACTTTTTTGGACGACACGAAAAAGATTGCAGACAGTCTGCACCATGAAGATTGGAAGCCAATTCCTGAAAAAGTAACAACTGATACGGCCCCTGATGAATCTGCAGACTCTGCTGATAAAGACAAGGGAAGTGGAATCTTCAGCAAATTCCGAAGTCCAAAATTGACTAGAGCATCGCGAAGCAGGTCCCGGGAAAAGAGCACTCCACCGCAAGAACCAGTAACAAGTCCAGATAGTTCAATCCGAGAAGCTACTGCGAAATTCCTAGAAGATACAAGAAACCTTGCAAATCTATCATTCGATGTACCAGACAAAGTAGACAATGCGAAGAAAGCGAAAGAGAAAATAACAATAGAAATCACGGAAGATGTTGATGATACCAAAAAGAAAATATCATCAGGAATAGATGTAGTTGTAGATGACACAGAAATAGCAAAAGATAAAGCTGCGAAAGAAGCTAAGAAAGCCAAGGAAAAGACAGGTGGATTTTTATCTGGACTATTCAAAGGTACAAAACACGCTGCAGATGAAGCTACTGAAGAATTCAAAGATGCTCTTGATGAAACAAAGAAAGAAGTCGTTGAAGGAAAAGATCGTGCACGGGAAGTGGTAGAAGGGAAATTGAAAGATCTCGATGCAACGAAAGACAAAGCAGTTTCAGAAGCAAAGCAAGAGCAGGAAAGGATCACCATTGTTGTAAAAGACACTAAAGATGCAATTAGTGGAAAGGTATCTGAGGCTGCGCAGCAAGTTTCAGATACTGGTAAAGCTGTTGGTGAAAAAGTAGCTGATGGAGGAAAGCGAGTCACAGAAAAGGTAGATACTATCATATATGGTGTGACTGACAGCGTGAAAGCTACAAAGGATAAAGCAGCGGCATACTCAAAAGATGTTAAAGACGAAATTGTAACAGGTGCAAAAGAAGTGGAACATAAAGTAAGTGAAAAAGTAGCTGAAGGAACGCAGAAAGTAACCGACACTGGTAAAGCAGTTTCCGGTAAAATAGTCGAAGGAGTAAAGGATGTTGAGATAAAAGCAGAATCAGCTACACGAAGCGTGATTGATGGCGCAAAGGCAACGAAAGATAAAGTAACTAAAGAGATTAAACAAGATACTGAAATAGCGAAACAAAAGATATCATCTGGAATAGACACAGTGGTAGACGGTGCAGCAGCAACAAAGGATAAAGCTAGCAAGGACGCAAAGAAAGCAAAAGAGAAGGCAAGTGGTTTCTTCTCAGGTATCTTCAAGAGCGCAAAACACGCGGCTGATGAAGTTTCCGAAGACGTCAAAGATTTCGTCGATGAAAGGAAGAAGGAGGCTGCAGAAGAGACAGCTCGTGCTCGTGAAAAAACGGCAGGAAAGTTAAAGGAGGCTGATGCAGCGAAGGATAAAGCTGTTGCAAGCTGTTGCGGAAGCAAAAACCGCGAAGGACAAAGCAGCAGCAACTGTGAAGGATACTAAAGAAGCAATAGACAAAAAGATATCGGAAGCTGTAGAGAAAGTGTCTGATGCTGAGAAAGTGTTCGGCAAAAAGACAGCTGATGAAGTGACGCGTATTGAAGAAAAAATGGATGGCGCGATCCATGTTGTGGTTGATGGCGTAGTTGCAACGAAGGAAAAGGCAGCTGCGACAGCGAAGGATGCTAAAGACTCAGTTGCAGCAGGTGCAAAAGACGCAGAAATTAAAGTAATAACAGTTGCCAAACATACGAAGGACACAGTAAGTGAAGAAATTACAGGTGGTGTTGAAAAGGTGAAAGATACAGGCAAAGCTGTCACTGATAAAATTGTTCAACAAGCAAAGGATGCGGAGACAAAAGCTGAAGCTGCTGCAAGAAGTGTGGCTGCAGATGCTAAAGCAACAAAAGATAAAGTAGCGAAGGAAGTTAAAGAAGATACTGAAGCAGTAAAACATAAGATAGCAACCGGAATAGACTCAGCAACAGATACTGCAGAGACAGCGAAAGATAAAGCTGCTAAAGAAGCTAAAAAAGCTAAAGAAAAGGCCGGTGGCTTTTTGTCTGGTTTATTCAAAGGTGCAAAACATTCTGTCGATGAAGTTTCAGACGACGTTAAAGAGTTCCTTGAGGAAACGAAGAGGGAAGCATCAGAAGAGAAAGACCGTCTACGTGCCGCTGCAGACGCAAAATTAAAAGATATGGAAGCAGCGAAAGACAGAGCATCTGCAGACGCAAGAGATGCAAAATACAAGCTTACAACCGCTGCGAAAGATACTAAAGACACAGTATTCACAAAAGTGTCTGATGCTACTCACAAGGTATCAGATGCAGGTAAGACTGCCGGTGAAAAAGTAAGTGATGAACTGAAAAGAGCTGAAGAGAAAACTGAAAGTGTAGCTCGGGGAGTAATCGATGGAGCAAAGGAGGTGAAAGACAAAACCGCCACAGATATGAAAGACGCAAAAGGAAAAGTTCTAACTGCTGCAAAGGACATCAAGGATAAAGTCAGCGACAAAGTAGTTGAAGGTGCACAGAAAGTTGCTGACACCAGTAAAACAGTTGGTGACAAAGTAGCCGAAGGAGTGAAAAGTGCAGAAACGAAGGTTGAAGCAGCAGCGAAGGGAGTAAGTGATGGTGCAAAGGAAACGAAAGACAAGGTTGCAAAAGAGATTAAAGAAGATGTAGACGCTGTAAAGCAGAAGGTATCTTCTGGAATTGATGGAGTTGCAGATAGCGCCGCAGCTGCGAAGGATAAAGCTAGCAAGGACGCAAAGAAAGCAAAAGAGAAGGCAGGTGGTTTCTTCTCAGGTATCTTCAAGAGCGCAAAACACGCGGCTGATGAAGTTTCCGAAGACGTCAAAGACTTCGTCGATGAAAGGAAGAAGGAAGCTGCAGAAGAGACAGCTCGTGCTCGTGAGAAAACAGCTGCAAAGTTAAAGGACGTTGATGCAGCGAAGGATAAAGCTGTTGCAGAAGCAAAGACCGCGAAGGATAAAGCTGTTGCGGAAGCAAAAACCGCGAAGGACAAAGCAGCAGCAACTGTGAAGGATACTAAAGAAGCAATAGACAAAAAGATATCGGAAGCTGTAGAGAAAGTGTCTGATGCTGAGAAAGTGTTCGGCAAAAAGACAGCTGATGAAGTGACGCGTATTGAAGAAAAAATGGATGGCGCGATCCATGTTGTGGTTGATGGCGTAGTTGCAACGAAGGAAAAGGCAGCTGCGACAGCGAAGGATGCTAAAGACTCAGTTGCAGCAGGTGCAAAAGACGCAGAAATTAAAGTAATAACAGTTGCCAAACATACGAAGGACACAGTAAGTGAAGAAATTACAGGTGGTGTTGAAAAGGTGAAAGATACAGGCAAAGCTGTCACTGATAAAATTGTTCAACAAGCAAAGGATGCGGAGACAAAAGCTGAAGCTGCTGCAAGAAGTGTGGCTGCAGATGCTAAAGCAACAAAAGATAAAGTAGCGAAGGAAGTTAAAGAAGATACTGAAGCAGTAAAACATAAGATAGCAACCGGAATAGACTCAGCAACAGATACAGCAGAGGCAGCGAAAGATAAAGCTGCTAAAGAAGCTAAAAAAGCTAAAGAAAAGGCCGGTGGCTTTTTGTCTGGTTTATTCAAAGGTGCAAAACATTCTGTAGATGAAGTTTCAGACGACGTTAAAGAGTTCCTTGAGGAAACGAAGAGGGAAGCATCGGAAGAGAAAGACCGTCTACGTGCTGCTGCAGACGCAAAATTAAAAGATATGGAAGCAGCGAAAGACAGAGCATCTGCAGACGCTAGAGATGCAAAAGACAAGCTTGCAACCGCTGCGAAAGATGCTAAAGACACAGTATTCACAAAAGTGTCTGATGCTACGCACAAGGTATCAGATGCAGGTAAAACTGTTGGTGAAAAAGTAAGTGATGAACTAAAAAGAGCTGAAGAGAAAACTGAAAGTGTAGCTCGGGGAGTAATCGATGGAGCAAAGGAGGTGAAAGACAAAACCGCCACAGATGTGAAAAACGCAAAAGGAAAAGTTCTAACTGCTGCAAAGGACATCAAGGATGAAGTCAGCGACAAAGTAGTTGAAGGTGCACAGAAAGTTGCTGACACCAGTAAAACAGTTGGTGACAAAGTAGCCGAAGGAGTGAAAAGTGCAGAAACGAAGGTTGAAGCAGCAGCGAAGGGAGTAAGTGATGGTGCAAAGGAAACGAAAGACAAGGTTGCAAAAGAGATTAAAGAAGATGTAGACGCTGTAAAGCAGAAGGTATCTTCTGGAATTGATGGAGTTGCAGATAGCGCCGCAGCTGCGAAGGATAAAGCTAGCAAGGACGCAAAGAAAGCAAAAGAAAAGGCAGGTGGTTTCTTCTCAGGTATCTTCAAGAGCGCAAAACACGCGGCTGATGAAGTTTCCGAAGACGTCAAAGACTTCGTCGATGAAAGGAAGAAGGAAGCTGCAGAAGAGACAGCTCGTGCTCGTGAGAAAACAGCTGCAAAGTTAAAGGACGTTGATGCAGCGAAGGATAAAGCTGTTGCAGAAGCAAAGACCGCGAAGGATAAAGCTGTTGCGGAAGCAAAAACCGCGAAGGACAAAGCAGCAGCAACTGTGAAGGATACTAAAGAAGCAATAGACAAAAAGATATCGGAAGCTGTAGAGAAAGTGTCTGATGCTGAGAAAGTGTTCGGCAAAAAGACAGCTGATGAAGTGACGCGTATTGAAGAAAAAATGGATGGCGCGATCCATGTTGTGGTTGATGGCGTAGTTGCAACGAAGGAAAAGGCAGCTGCGACAGCGAAGGATGCTAAAGACTCAGTTGCAGCAGGTGCAAAAGACGCAGAAATTAAAGTAATAACAGTTGCCAAACATACGAAGGACACAGTAAGTGAAGAAATTACAGGTGGTGTTGAAAAGGTGAAAGATACAGGCAAAGCTGTCACTGATAAAATTGTTCAACAAGCAAAGGATGCGGAGACAAAAGCTGAAGCTGCTGCAAGAAGTGTGGCTGCAGATGCTAAAGCAACAAAAGATAAAGTAGCGAAGGAAGTTAAAGAAGATACTGAAGCAGTAAAACATAAGATAGCAACCGGAATAGACTCAGCAACAGATACAGCAGAGGCAGCGAAAGATAAAGCTGCTAAAGAAGCTAAAAAAGCTAAAGAAAAGGCCGGTGGCTTTTTGTCTGGTTTATTCAAAGGTGCAAAACATTCTGTAGATGAAGTTTCAGACGACGTTAAAGAGTTCCTTGAGGAAACGAAGAGGGAAGCATCGGAAGAGAAAGACCGTCTACGTGCTGCTGCAGACGCAAAATTAAAAGATATGGAAGCAGCGAAAGACAGAGCATCTGCAGACGCTAGAGATGCAAAAGACAAGCTTGCAACCGCTGCGAAAGATGCTAAAGACACAGTATTCACAAAAGTGTCTGATGCTACGCACAAGGTATCAGATGCAGGTAAAACTGTTGGTGAAAAAGTAAGTGATGAACTAAAAAGAGCTGAAGAGAAAACTGAAAGTGTAGCTCGGGGAGTAATCGATGGAGCAAAGGAGGTGAAAGACAAAACCGCCACAGATGTGAAAAACGCAAAAGGAAAAGTTCTAACTGCTGCAAAGGACATCAAGGATGAAGTCAGCGACAAAGTAGTTGAAGGTGCACAGAAAATAGCTGATACCAGTAAAGCAGTTGGTGACAAAGTAGCTGAAGGAGTGAAAGGCGCAGAAGCGAAGGTTGAGGCAGCAGCGAAAGGAGTAAGTGATGGTGCAAAGGAAACGAAAGACAAGGTTGCAAAAGAGATTAAAGAAGATGTAGACGCTGTAAAGCAGAAGGTATCTTCTGGAATTGATGGAGTTGCAGATAGCGCCGCAGCTGCGAAGGATAAAGCTAGCAAGGACGCAAAGAAAGCAAAAGAGAAGGCAGGTGGTTTCTTCTCAGGTATCTTCAAGAGCGCAAAACACGCGGCTGATGAAGTTTCCGAAGACGTCAAAGATTTCGTCGATGAAAGGAAGAAGGAGGCTGCAGAAGAGACAGCTCGTGCTCGTGAGAAAACAGCAGCAAAGTTAAAGGACGTTGATGCAGCGAAGGATAAAGCTGTTGCAGAAGCAAAGACCGCGAAGGATAAAGCTGTTGCGGAAGCAAAAACCGTGAAGGACAAAGCAGCAGCAACTGTGAAGGATACTAAAGACGCAATAGACAAAAAGATATCGGAAGCTGTAGAGAAAGTGTCTGATGCTGAGAAAGTGTTCGGCAAAAAGACAGCTGATGAAGTGACGCGTATTGAAGGAAAAGTGGATGGCGCGATCCATGTTGTGGTTGATGGCGTAGTAACAACGAAGGAAAAGGCAGCAGCGACAGCGAAGGATGCTAAAGACACAATTGCAGCAGGTGCAAAAGATGCAGAAATTAAAGTAATAACAGTTGCCAAACATACGAAGGACACAGTAAGTGAAGAAGTTACAGGTGCTGTAGAAAAGGTGAAAGATACAGGCAAAGCTGTCACTGATAAAATTGTTCAACAAGCAAAGGATGCGGAGGCAAAAGCTGGAGCTGCTGCAAAAAGTGTGGCTGAAGATGCTAAAGCAACAAAAGATAAAGTAGCGAAGGAAGTTAAAGAAGATACTGAAGCAGTAAAACATAAGATAGCAAGCGGAATAGACTCAGCAGCAGATACTGCAGCGGCAGCGAAAGATAAGGCTGCGAAAGAAGCTAAAAAAGCTAAAGAAAAGGCAGGCGGTTTTCTCTCTGGTCTATTCAAGGGTGTGAAACATACAACAGATGAAGTTGCAGACGATGTTACAGAGTTCCTTGAGGAAAGAAAAAGAGAATCTTCAGAAGAAAAAGCTGTTGCGCACGCAGCAATGGAAAAGAAGATCGAAGATGTGGCTGAAGCGACGGATAAAGCAGTTGCAGGAATTAAAGACACAACAGGTAAGATCGTGACTTCCGCGAAAGACACGAAGGATAAAGTTGCAACGGAAATAAAATATACGGAAGAAAAGGTAGAATCTGCATCTCGAGAAATAGGTGATAGTGCAAAGGCAGCTAAAGACAAGGTGATTACTGATGTGAAAGACGTGAAAGACAAAACGGCGATAACTATAAAGGATATCAAGGATAAAGTCAGCGAGAAAGTAGCTGACAGCTCTCAGAAGGTAATAGACACTGGCAAGGAGGTGGAAGAAAAGATCGCAACTGGTGCAAAAACAGCTGGTGATAAAGCAAAAGCATCTGCTCACGAAGTAGCTGAAAATGCAAAATTAGCGAAAGGAAAACTGGAAAAAGAAGTTAGAGAAGATACAGCTGCAGTGAAACAAAAGATTTCATCAGATATAGATACGGTTGCAGATGGTGCAGATACAGCAAAGGAAAAGATCACGAAGGAAGCAAAGAAAACTAAGGAAAAAGGTGTAGGTTTCTTCTCGGGCCTGTTCAAAGGAGCAAAACACGCAGCTGAAGAGGTCTCCGAAGAAGTGAAGGAATTCTATGATGAAACAAAGAAAGACGCAACTGAAGAAGAAGCACGTGCTCGTGCTTCTATGGAAAAAACTCTAAAAGATGTCGATCTCGCAAAAGATAAAGCAGTTGCAGAAGTGAAAGATACAAAAGCTAAGATGACAACAGCTGTAAAAGACACCAGAGGTAAGGCTAGTGACACTGTATCTGATGGTGTCCAAGCAGTGAAAGATATTGGTAAAACTGTGGGTGATAAGATAGTAGATAGTACAAAACAGGCAGAAGCTAAAGCAGAAGCTGCTGCTTACAAGGTGGCTGATGATGCCAAAGCAGCGAAAGACAAAGTTGTTGCAGACGTAAAGGATACTACAGAGACGATAACAACTGCAGCAAAGGACACGAAAGATAAAATCTCGGAGAAATCATCAGAAGGAGCAGAGAAAGTATCAGCCATTACCAAAACTATTGGTGAGAAAGTTGTAGATGGTGTGGAGAAAGCTAAAAGCAAAACAGACACAGTTGTTCATGGATTAGCAGAAGAGGCAAAAGTAATGAAAGATAAAGGAACCAAGGAAATCAAAGATAGCACCGATGCCGTGAAACAAACAGTTTCTTCTGGAATAGACGTTGTAGCAGACAGTGTAGCTGTAGCTAAAGACAAAGCAGACAAAGATGCTAAGAAAGCTAAAGAGAAGGGTAGCGGCTTTCTAAACGGGTTGTTTAAAAGTGCGAAGCAAGCGGCTGATGACGTTTCAGGAGACGTTAAAGACTTTCTCGAAGAAGCAAAGAGAGAAGCCTCTTTGGAAAAAGCTCG